CAAATCCCATGTGGGATGGGCCAAAAAAGGCATGACACCTAAATAAAAAATGAATGAATCAAAGTAGATTTAATGTTGTTTTCTGGTGCTGGTCAACAGGAATGTCAAAACACAAAGGGAAAACACATCTCCTAAACACACCTTACTGTTAGTTCATGAAGAGGGTAAATAAAAGAAACAAGGATTTTAGCGATTTTTGTAACTCTTAAACTGTAAAGCATTTAAATTGATCACAGAAATAATCATTGTTCCTTCCTACAACAGCAACTGATCGTGGAGATGAACCGTCTGGGGATGCTGATCGACCTGGCTCATGTGACTGTGGCAGTGATGAACCAGGTGCTGGACATGTCTAAAGCTCCCGTCATCTTCAGCCACTCCTCCGCCTACAGCGTCTGTCCACACAAGAGGAACGTTCCCGATGATGTACTCAGGAAAGTGGTGAGTATGTGTGTGTGTGGGGAAAAGCAGCAGGGCAGTTACACAGCTGAAGAGTACATAAAGAGGTAAACTGGAAGAAGAATGTGTATGCTTTATATGAATAAAAGTGCCAAAAATACTCCAGTACAAGAAAAAGTCCTGCATTCAACATTTTACTTCAGAGTACATTAGCACCATCAGCTGAATGTAAAGTATCAAAGGTCAAAAAAGTGCTGTTGATGTAGAAAAATGCCTCCTGTGAGTGACGTACCATTAAACAGTACATGACCTGTCTGTGCTGATGTTTTCAAGAGAAAGCAACATTTTACTGCTGTTGAGGTGAAGCCAGTGGAAACTACTTAAAATATACTCAGGTAGTTTAGTCTGGCTCTCAAACTAAGGGTCGGACCCCCTCAAAGGGTCACAGGATAAATCTGAAGGGTTGTGAGAGGACTAATGGAAGCGAAAACATTCTTCTTTGGGCCTTAAACAATTATTTAAATGGAACAATCTGAGAAGTGTAAAGACACGAGTTGTGTGACGGTTTGTTAACAGATATTTTGATGTAGTTTTGCTGTTGTTAAACTCAGTATTTGGATTCTTCATTCACCATTAAGGCATGCAAGCAAAACAAAGTTTCCTTCACCAATTCAAGATAACACTGTGAATAACTGATATGCACATTGTAATTTTGTGAGTGAAGTAATCCTTCAAGTGAAGTGTTGTGACTAAATGTTATTGAGCTACGTTTGAAGATGAAAAAGCACAAAGTATCAGAGGACAATTGACAGCCTGTAAAATGTCCAGCCAAGTAAAGCTGTTAAGCGTTTCAGAAACACATCCTATCATTGCTGCTCGTTATCTCAGATAACATAAATGCTCTTTATGGCACCAAAGGGCTGAACGTGGTTGTAAAACGGCATGTTGTGTCCAGTTCAACTGATACAAACATAATGGCAGTTTCCTAGTTCAAGGCAATAAAACAGCAAACATGAAGAGCTATTGTGCAGCACTGTAAAACAACAAACAGATAATAAAGCAATTCATTTACAACCAGGAGACGTCCACTCTAATAGATGAGACAGCACAGGTCAATACCTTCATGTACTTGGACTGTAAGTTTAAATCCATCTCTTGGCCATGGTCACATCTCCCCCTGTTCCCGTTATGCACTTTCAGTCACTATAGAGCGTCTCCTGCCCAACAAAGCAGAAATGACACAGTGTCTCGCTGCATCCTGTGGACCTATAGAGACTTATAGCGCTTCTAGGTCAGTATGTGACTCGCTGTCATGTAACATCCTGTCTTTCTCCCCAGAAACAAAAAGGAGGAATTGTTATGGTGAACTTCTATAACGACTATGTGACCTGCAGCAAGACCGCTAAACTCTCACACGTTGCTGGTAAATTACTGTAATGACAACTGCTGTAAACCTGGTTGAATATTAACATTTATCAGTCTTTCTATTACAATAAAAAGTGTCTTTATTCCCTCTCTGCTCTCATCACAGATCACTTTGACCATATAAAGAAAGTGGCCGGGGCGGACATCATTGGTTTTGGTGGAGATTATGACGGGGTTACAAGGTGAGTTCAAAACATTCAAACCTTGACTTACACTTAAAGTCTGGGCTGAAACAGTAAAAAACAATAAATAGATAAAACTGTGAGTGAGTTGATGTCAATGGTAACTGAGTATCTCTCCTCATGTTGTCCTCTCAGGTTACCAGAGGGTCTGGAGGACGTGTCCAAGGTGCCCAACGTGGTGGCTGAACTGCTGAGGAGAGGATGGACCGATGAGGAGGTCAAAGCTGCTCTGGGAGACAACCTGCTCAGAGTCCTAAGGAACACTGAGAAGGTGAGACTGAGACACACACACACACAAACACCATGGACCTTATTTAAACAATCCGTAGCCCAGGGTCTAAAGTGCATGGCACAATAGCATCTAGGGGTGTATTCAGCTCTACCTTTGCGGGTTCATCTGTGCAAAGGGTGCAAAGTAAGGCTCACAGGTGTGTTTTTGGCGTAACATGAATTCAGCTAATCAGATTGTCACCACTCATCCTTTTAACAGCCAGGTTTGCCTGCACCAGGTGCACTGCTATTACACGGTGGATTTGGCAAAATGGAGAAGCGAGCGGTTGTCTGCTCAGAGTAATGCAGTGAGAGCAGTAATGTCACTGCAGCAAATATTGTGGGACATTTAATTACTCACTCATTTTCTGTAACCGCTTATCCTGTTGGGGGTCGCAGGGGGGCTGGAGCCTATCCCAGCTGACATTGGGCGAGACGCGGGGTACACCCCACCAGGTTTGGAACCAGTAACCTTCTTGCTGCAATACTAACCACTGCTCTTCTGTGCCACCTAATAATAATAAGAAGAATTAGAATATTCGTAGTAGTGTATTATCTTGAAACCATGATTATTTTCTGAGACGGTAATCGAACCATGAAAATCTCATACCGTTGCAACCCTGGTGCAGAGTCACCAGAATGTAGAAGGAAAAAAAAATTTTTTTGGCCATAAAGCTGTCCTAGAACATGCATAGTACCACTGATATATCAAACCTATTCTGAAAATAACTTCAGTAAACAATCCATGATATTCCTCCTATACATTCTGTGCATGGTGGTCACAACAACATAAAGCAAAAGGACATAAAGGCGGTCAGTCAAAAACAGTGAGACAATGTATATATATATATATATATATATCTTGGTGCTTTGGTAGCAGGTGGACCCCCTGAGTGAACACCCACACACACCTGTCACAATGCCTCTCTGTCTGCTGCCTGACAGTCTCATCTTTGTGTGTCAGGTCCGTGACTCTCTGCAGGGCGCGAGTCCAGATGATGTTCCTATTCCATATGATGAGGTGAAGAACCCGTGCAGGACGAGCTACGGTTACTCGAATGCCGGAGCTGTCCATTCACTCAGCACACTGGCCCTCTTGCTCACACTGGCTCTGCAGCCTTTTATCACATTGACAGCTTTATAAGCTGCGTATCAGTGCAACTGATGTCAAGAATGTGTCTATGCATACAAATAAAATCTGTTTTAATTGCCCTTTCTGCACCAGAAACACCAAATACTTTCAGTTTACTGTTTAAATGTTTTTAACCACTTGTAGTTTGTCTGATTTTAATGGTTTTCACATGTTAACTTCACTAAAAACCAAAAAACTGCGACTAACAGCATCACAGTTGCCATAATAACAAAGAGAGCGGCACAGTGATTATCATGTCGGACCAAGTTGAGTTTATTGAACTAATCTGGTTGTTTTTATGCAATCATAACACTGTCAGATAGAAGCAGCTGTGGGCAAATGTTAGTGTGTGATGACAGTGATACATGGGTTAAGTCAAACCAGTGTAAACTGAATGCATAAACACACACACACACACACGCATACACGCACACACACACACAATATTCCTCAACATCACTATACTGACATTTTCACAGGAGGTAGTACAGTACAAGTCCACAGCTCCATCTAGTGGTCTGAGAGGGTAAAGGGATGCAAAACACATGTGGCTTCTAAACTAATAAGGTTGGTGATTTGCATGTTTTGAATTTAATATACACATTTACTAGGCAGGAAAATCTGACTGGATTAAATTACTTGATGACATGATGGCACAAGATAAAAATACTAAGGTTTTCACTTGGCAAGGACACTGACAGACAAATTAACAGAAAAGAGTTTCAACACAAATAGTGGTAGTTTCTCTGATCGACTGGCTGAGCTTCAATCAATATAAAGTCTCTTTGTTCACAGAAAGTAAAATTATAAATTGAATTCTGATGCACGTACAGCTCACTGTTACACAAAGACACTCTCCTGAAGGCTGATCAAGTGTTAGGTTTTTCTCCTTTGACTCAGACACACTGCAGCCTTGAAGAGTTTAACACCCTTTGAATTACATTCACCTCACAAGATATGAGGGCACCAACAGACAGAATGTCCTCACTGTTTGACATTAAACACAGAAAAACTTTACAAAAAAGGAAGACTGAAAATAACTAATGCCCTTAGGTGAAAGGGACAGTTCACCCCAAAATATTTTCCTCTTATCTGTGGTGCTATTTATCAGGAACTAGATGGCACTCAGCTTGTGGTGCTCAAAGTGCCAAAAAAAGGGAAAGAAAAACTCACCAGCAATGTCTCTTTCCAGAAATCATGACTCGGTTACTCAAGATAATCCACAGACTTTGTGAGAAGTGTCATGTAGAAACTATATTCTTTCTGTCGAACTACACCCGGCACTGTGCAGAAGGAAGCGTGCATCTACTGCTAGCTCAACTAGCACCACTGGGCTAGCTAATGTTAGAGCTCAGCTGAGGAGGACGTTTAATATGTTTACATTAAGCGCTGTCACAAGCATGAGCCTCTCATCTGAAAAACATGCTTCCTTCTGCGTGGTGATACAGTTGGTGGGTGTAGTTCGGTAGAAAGAAAATAGTTCCTACATGAAACTGCTCACAACAAGGTCTGGTGATTATCTTGAGTAACTGGGTCATGATTTCTGGAGAGTTTTTCAAATGTTTTTCTTTTTGGCACTTTGAGCACCACAAGCAGAGTGCCATCTAGTTCCATTATATTCAAGAGAAGGCAGACATCTCTATGCTCAGCAACTCACACCGAAACTATCTAGATCAGAGGTGTCAAACTCATTTTAGTTCTGTGGCCACATACGGCCGGATTTGATCTCAAGTGGGCCGGACCACTGAAACCACTGCATAATAACCTATAAATAATAACCCCTTCAAATTTTTCTTTCATTCTGAAAACGCTCATCCATTTACAAAACAAAGAAGAGAGAAAAATATGTGTAAATCCAACAGTATGTCTTAGTTTTCCCACACTGCCTTACCAACAATGTACAATCTGAAGTTTTGTCAGTTCCTCAGCAGCAGGGTTCCACCCATATAGTTTTTAAGACAGAAGTCTGAGACAGATTCTTTTGTACCAAAGCTGCTGGTCGACAATATTTTGCACAATGTTCAATATCTTTAAATCTGACTATAGAAAGCATTCATTGTTATTTCAGAGAGCAGCATTCTGGTCAGAGTGGAAACGCCCCTGAGGCTATTTTACATGAAGTATCTACTCATTGTTCAAACTGCTCCTGAAACCACTCAGCCTACACATGTGCATCAACATTAGGTGTGCAAAGTCATCTAGAAGGCAAGATTGGACCCATAGGCAGGAAGGTTCTGGCCCCCGGGCTGTATATTTGACACCCCTGATCTAGATTGTTAAATAGCACTACGAAAAAGAGAAAAAATATAATTGAATATTTTTTATTTTGGGATGAACTGTCCCTTTAAGGTTGGTCCTGTTGAATTCTGAAGCATTACAGCCGCACAGTTCTCTTTTTTTTTTACTTAGAAAACTCAAAGACATTTCATAATTACCACAAGACAGAGAGGGGATGTACTTTTCGTCTGCCAGCTGTAGTGGTTTAGTACATTTACACTTCATCAGCTACTTTCAGTGTCTGAAAAGAAAAGTCATGTAAAAGTAGCACCTTTAAATAACAGTTTGTAACAAAGTGGTTTATAGAGCAGAAAAACTCATCAGCCACAGAATTCAGTATCATCTGGTTGGTATCTGGAGTTACTTCTCAATGAAGCATTTGGAATAACAAGGTAGATTAACAAGTATCCTTGGACTCCTTCATCACACACAGTCTCCAGTGCATCATTCAGCGCCCTCTTGTGTGCATCACAAGCATAACAAAACTCCACAAAGACTGTGTACTAGTCCTGTGTGTCCTCAGGCTCCTCTCAGCACTGAGACACTGCTGGTGACTCAGATGGACAGACTTAATGAAAAGTGCATGAGTTACTAATAAATGGACAAAGAACTGCTGCTCACATGATCTGCAGCAGCTGCACGCTCTGGTGAAACTAGTGTCTAACTATTTGGTTTGAATACCTCCACACAGACCGGCAACGTGACCTCAACTGCACTGGCCAAAGTTATGTCAAGTGTGAGCATTCTCAGGGATATTTACCACGCGAGAGAAGGCGTGACATGCAGTGTAACAGTCTCAAAAGGAGGACAATTTTAACCCTCACAAATATTTGGACGACGAAAAAGTCTAGTTAAACAAGGCCACTGTTTGTCAGTGCATCACCTGAATCCACATGAGAAAATGCCACAGCACAGTAACAGCTTCAAGAGTACAAATGTAACAAGAAGAGACTTGGAGCCATCGCTCTAAAGTGCACTGCATCCAAGCTGAGGTCAGTTCTTCAGGTGAGTTGTGACCAACCAGTGACTTAGACAATAATTGAAGGCGGACGATGTCTGTGGAGGTATGTCTAGAAAAAGAAGGAGCAATCCAAGTCTGTACAAAGAGGATGAGGAGGGTCTGCTATCAGAGTTAAGATACGACCTCTCTCTGCGCCTCGTTGTCTTGTTCCTGTGTTTCACTGTCCGACAGCAGAGGCACAGCGATCCTGTAAGGCAAGTTATCTTTACTCAACATCCTCCTTGTGGCAGAGACCAAGCGGGAGTAGTTATCAGGGTTATACTCCGATAAAGGCTGCCGGGTGCACAGTAACGGCAGGTTGTCCCTGTCCGGCCGGGACATGAAGAGAGGAGGCCGGCGCTGGCACTCGCCGTCCTTCAGGGAGTCTGGGAGCGGCTTGCGTTTGCTTTCAGGTAGGAGCATTATGCAGAGGACGGAGAGGACGGCGAAGGAGGCGAAGATGACATGGTGGAGGAAGTAGCCGCCGTTGTTCTGCAGCTCCATCAAGGAGGAGGCGGCCATGCCAACACAACCTGCTGCCAGCACCAGGCCGAGGCAACCACCTCTGACAGAGAGAGGGAGGAGAGGAACAAAAGTCAGCAAGAATATCCAACAATACTTTGGATATTCTTTGTAGCACTCAAACCCCCGAGCCTATTTGTTCCTACAGAGACCCAAGTCCTCTAAACAACTTCCTAAAACAGCTGGGCACTGTTGTTCTTAGCAAACATTACTCAGACAAAAGTAAACTCTGCGTTTGTAGGGGACTATTCTTAGCAGCAGCCTAATACACATTCACAATAGCTGAAGCTGCACAGGCAATACTTAATGGGATTAATTTATTGTCTGTTCTGGTCCTTTTAATGGGATTTGTGGGCAATAAAAAAAATTACAGACACTCTGGCTAAGAAGACAGACACTTACCGAACCACAGTCGGCATCACCTCACAGGCAAACAGCACACTGAGCATGGCGAGAGCCTGAGAGAACAGCAGACCCACAACTGAGAGCACCAACACCAGACCTCCACGCAGATCTGACACATAAAAAAGGACAACTTATTCATTTTTACAGCTGCAACCATAATAAATAATCAGTTAGTTGTCAACTATTAAATTAATCATCAGCTAAATTGATACCAACTAATAGGTTTGAGTAATTTGTTGAGAAGATAATCAACAGTGAAAATAATTGTTAGTTGCAGCCATTTAAATTTACTGCTTAAAAATTACAGCTGCAGCAAAATTTACAGCAGCCACCAGACATTTTCTGGCCCGGGACCCAAAACTGGCACAATCACAACCTTAAGACTTATCACGTGAATGTAAGTATGGCATCATTTTATTTTTCAGAGCATGATGGGAAGCTGGAAATGGATTATACGCATTAAAATTGCGTGTTGTTTCCTGAGCTCAAGGATGAGACAATTATCTACAGTGTTTCCTTCATATCTAAGCTGGCAAAAAACAATCTGTCATAAACTAATGACAGATCACACTCTTCTATGAGACCTATGAATTTAAAAACATATATATAATTTTGTCAAACAAAATATGTAGAGAAATGTGTTGAGTCAACTGTGAAACTGGTTCCAGTTCAAGGAGCGGTATAATGTCAGTGGTCCCTGTGATGCCTCATTGACTTTAAAGTAATCAGCTCTTTAGCATGAAATGCATGAATCAATTAAGTTAAACTGTCAAAATGTTAGACAACCATTTAAAGAAGTTTTAAGTATCTTGTCATCACCAACAGCCACCACAGAACATGGTTAGACTAATAATCCATCTTCTAACCGCTTCATCCTCTTGAGGGTTGCGGGGGGGGGGCTGGAGACTATCCCAGCTGACATTGGGCAAGAGGCGGGGTACACCCTGGACAGTTCGCCAGACTATCACAGGGCTGACACATAGATACAGACAACCATTCACACTCACATTCACACCTACGGACAATTTAGAGTTATCAATTAATCTGCATGTCTTTGGACTGTAGGAGGAAGTCGGAGTGCCCGGAGACACGGGCTGACATGGGGAGAACATGCAAACTCCACACAGAAGGGCTCCCACACCAGAGATCGAACTGGGAACCCTCTTGCTGTGAGGCGACAGTGCTAACCATCACACCACCGTGCCGCCCAGGTACTAATATTACTAACAGTAAAATAATGTGGATGTAACGTACACTGAGTGAGCGCCAGCAGCAGCAGTGATGACAGTCCGGTGATGATGGCAGACAGCAGGAGCATACCACGCCGACCGAAGTGATTGACCGACAAACAGATGAAGATGCAGGCCAGAGCTCCAGTTATCACTCGGAGGAAGTAGCTGAAGTAGAAGTTGGAAGAGTAACTGTGCAGGTTTCTGGTGAAACAGTACTGGATGCCCGTCCCGATGAAGCTGGAGAGGGGACGAGAGAGTTAGAACATCAACCCAACACTGCATCAACAGCACTAAAGACGGGAAATAAATAAATGATTAAATACATTATACTCTGAATTATAATTCTCATTTATTTTAAATTGAATCATTTTACATTTTAAGGCTTTTATGAAACTCAACAGAGAGCAACACAACTTCAACTCAGCATTGAGTCCATCCCATAATTTGACTCCCAAAACTGAAACGCAACTGTATTTTACATTGTTCTCACTTTACATGTTTCATAAAAAAAACAGCCCTCTTCAATTATAATTTTCTTCTTTTAATTGATTTTTTTTTTTTTAATACAGACAGGAAGGCTTTTGTTCACAACTCGAAAAAGTATTTCCAATATTTTTAAATACACATTGTCTAGAAGTTTAAAGATGTAGGATGCTGTGAACAGTTAATTCGTACATTCACAATAACAAGAGCTCCTTTCTTAAGTTTCATTATAGAGTCTATATATTTGTTTTATAAGTTATAAGTCAGGTGAATTTTTCCATACTGAGAAGAGAAAACTCACAGCGTGAAGCTGAGGATGAGGCAGTTCTTCCAGATAACACGAGTCCGACGCAGCTCCAAAACTGTAAAGTATCTCGACTGACAGTCTTCTCCGTACGCTGAGTCTATTTCTATAAACAGAAAGAAAAAAGGATGAAAAACACCTGAAGGAATTCAATGTATCCCTGACGAGCCAACGGTTTTAAGGCTTGGTGTAATACTTCTGCACTTAGATCAAACGGACGAGCAGAAACTTTATGATCTCCACAACAGATGGATTTGATAAATGATCAAACATGACGTGGTACATCACTATATCGGCCAAGTTTGGAGGTTATTCCAGCTGCAACCCAGTGCAGTGGTTTGCAGGGGCAAACCACTTGTTCTTGCTCTACGTAATGATATATCAAGATAACGCTTGTTTTGTTGCCTGTTTCCCCAATACTTCAACCATCATTACAATAATTGTTTTAAACTTTTCTTGTGAAAGAAATACTCTGATACCAGTATGTGTGTGTACACAGGCGTTTTGTTTGTTCATACCTGACAGCATGTTTTCACCAGGGTAGATTTCATCTCGCAGACAAACCCCGTTCCTGGTGGAGAATTCCTGGAGGCTCCTCTTCACCTGGGGGATCTGAACTGTGGCCAGCAGCCAGCGAGGAGACTCAGGAAACACTGATGCACAGCTGAGGGAAACAACTCTGTTATCACATCTCAGAGAGATACAGCGCCCAAACATTCAAACATAAACACAGATGGGTAAAGAGATGTACACATGCACTAATTGTGTTTTCCCCCTGGTACCACATCTTGGTACTCATAGAGTATAGGAAAAAGAAAAAGTTGTAACTGCAGCATTATTTGTTGTCACTTTATTACTGACATCTAAAAGGCATCTGGATACCTGTGTTTTCATTTATAAAGCTTTGCTATCTAAGTTGCTCTGATGTTTTTACCCTCCATAGTTTAGTTCAGACACCAGAGCGCAGGATATGATGTCACAATAAACTGTGAAACTAACTGAAGATAAAGACACTCATTCTCCTGAGGACTTAAAGGAACAGCGTGTAGGATTTAGTGGCATATAACAGTGACGACTGTAGCTGAAACTTCTCCTGTGTGCCAAGTGTGAACTCCCCGTTAGTATTCCTTAAGTGTTCATTGTTCAGGAAGTTTTTAGCAGGAGCCAAATTACCCACAGAGGTCTCCTCCTCTCCAAAACAAACAGACCGGGTGATTTAAACCAATAAAAACACAGAATAAACAGGTTTCATGTTACGAAACCTGAATGCTGTTCAGTTCGTAAGTGGAGGGGCTGCTACCTATGATGGTTGATGTGAAAACACAGATGGCCCTATCTAGAGCCAGTTTTTGGTTTGTCCGTTCTGGACTACTGTAGAAACATGACGGTGCAACATGGTCGACTCCGAAGACAAGGACTGGCTTCCTATGTAGATACAAACAGCTCATTCAAAGGTAATGAAAACACACCGATTCTTATTTTCAGGTGATTATACACTAATGAAAACATACTAATCATATTATATTTTACTTCTGCCAATATAACTCTCTCTTGTTAAAGCAGTCCTGGTTTCAATGAGACTTCCTAAACAAATGTGTCACAAGAACTTTCCAAGTAGGTTTATGTATTTAAACATGTGGTTAAATGACTGAATTCAGGTGTGGCTGTTAAAAGGTGTGGGCATGAAACAGGAGCAACTACAAACATATCAGATATTTGTAGATCAAACATATCAATGTTTATTACTGTAGAGTCATCAACTGTCCTTAATGCTTCATCAAACACACACATGATGTGTCCACCTCTACATGCTACGATATCTCCACCTTACTCACCACCAATAGGAAAGCAGCAGGAGCAGAGGCAAAGTGGCCACAGCCTGGAGAACGGGCCAATTGCGGCACAGGACAGCAATGCCCGGCAACAGCAGCTCCGCGAACACGCCGAAGAAGCCGCTGACCATGGCAACCATGAGACGATGAGGAGGGTCACACAGCTCCAACCCTGAGAGAGAGTGAGGGGACAGATAACATCAAAACACAGCTGAACAAAACTAATACATCTGTCCAAACCCAATTCACTTCCTGTCGGGACACGAACCCCCTCACACATACAGCTCAGAATGTTGTAATGTGTTTATACTGAATTATTTTGTTGCCCTCATGCAGAACTGGCTCAGCACAGAGAGCAGTAACTTATCGAGCAATGGTGGCATGGGATTCGTTACCAGGATATCTGACCATGGGAAAGTAGTACAACACGTTTTAGTAAAATTTTTTACAATTGTACTTATTCACACAAGAATTAAAAGAGCCAAACGTGTTCCTGTCTCCTAAAGGAGTCATACTGATTCATAGAGCTATCTAATTTTACTTAAATTAGGAGGAGTGTTGCTTAATGATTACCTTTAGATCTCCAAGAGGTGATAAGATAATGAAAAGAGAGGTTTCCAAATATAAAACTAATGCCAAAACACATCAAGCAGTGGCGAAGTGCGGCCTGTGGCGAGCTGCCATGCAATGGCTATGGAGAGCTGTTGCAGCTACTCTGAACTGCAGACATTAGATTACGCAGCGAAGTGCGGCCAAAGTAAAGGTGGGGATGGTTTTAGTAACTTTTAGTGGTAAATTGCGACCACAGAATACTGAGTCCTGTGACTCTTGTGACATATTGACCTCTCATCCTCTGTACTTACATACCAAAAATATATTCTATAATTAAATAAAGTCTTGGTATAATTTGATAGTGCAGCTTGTTACATGTTATTAGTAAACCATAAAATAAAATGGGCCCACTGCAGCGTCTTTGATGTGATGAGGTCGATCCAACCTTACAAAATGAAGCAATGTGGTTCCTTGACAATAAACTATTTTTCTAAGATTCTCATAAATTTGTGACCTTAATCTCAAATAATATCTGAGTTTTTTCTCACACATTAACAAATTAAGCCAGAACAACACACTAGAAGCTAAGAGATAAAGTGCTCTTAGCCTCACGTAATGATGTAAACTCATTTGGAAGTGTGTCAAGTTGTGTAAGTGTTTCCTGAACTTTAACCTCTCCCTGCCCCCAGACCTCTGATTCTTTCCACCTCCTCCCTGTCTGGGGGGTAAAGGAGGAAAATGAGGAGTTCACTTCCTGTTCACTTCCTTGCCTTTGGTTCAGTCCTATTGTTTTTCTGTTTTTCGTCTCTGTGGAGGAGTAGCACTGGCAGGACATCGCTCAGAAACATTTCTCTCAGGCCCTCATCCCACCCAGCCCAGCCCAACTTCAGCCTAACCTATAAAAACAAAATCTGGACTCAATCGAGCTCTGACCTCACAGGAATGTGGGAGTATGTGTGTGTGTATCAAAAACAGAAAAATGTGTGTGTGTGTCTTTCAGATGAGACCACCACCCAGTACCACCACCTCCCACACAGGAATGTGTACAGTGTCAAATGCTAACGTAAATAATTTCTTATGCCGCTTTAGACAGTTCCAGAAAAAAACACAGTATTTTATACACTATGTTCCCCTACTAGCCAGAGACGTCTCACAAAGTCATCTTGTGAAAGAAGGGAGCCAAAGTTTCACCACAGAGGGGTTACACCCCCTGAATGAGGACAGCTGAGAGGTAGAAGTAAAGAAAAACCAACCAGCTGCCTGCTGTCACTCAGCTCAGCACAACACACTTCAGTTTGTCATCAGCTGAGATGCCCCTTCAACTCCTCTACTCTGTCACAAACATGCCCACGCTAAAGCAATAACGTAAGATCATATCTTTGATTTTAGGAGAGCAGTCTAGACATGTAGCCTACAGGTCAAAAAACTAGAGAACCACAGAGTCCCAATTCCATAAAATATAATATTTCCATACTAAAAATATATTAACCAACACACTCAACTGTTTTCTACTAACAGGAAATGATACCATGTGTGCAGTGATGCATGTCAAATCAAATTCACCCAGTTACACACTGGTGGTCGAGGTAACATTCAAGGTGTTATCTGCTACTCAGTTAATCATTCACACACACTCACACACAATTTGGGGTTCAGTATCTTGCCCAAGGATACTTTGACATCCAGACACACAAAGAGCATGGGATTGAGCCGCCTATCTTCCAATTAGTGGATGACGCACTGGACTTCCTGAGCCACAGCCGCTATACAAACTACATAGTAGTTTGAGTTATTGGTGGCAGGGTCCGCCATTCCCACAATGGATTTAAATCACCTTCAGGTTCTCAGGAAACACTGCAGGATGTTTCATTTTGGAAAACTACTCACTACAACATGTTCACAATGGAATCGGATCGTGTTTACGACATTACTGTAATTTAACCTTTAATTAAAACAATGTGAGTTTGTTTGGCTGCACTGTTATACAGTACAGGCCAAAAGTTTGGACACACCTTCTCATTCAATGCGTTTTCTTTATTTTCATGACTATTTACATTGTAGATTCTCACTGAAGGCATCAAAACTATGAATGAACACATGTGGAGTTATGTACTTAACAAAAAAAGGTGAAATAACTGAAAACATGTTTTATATTCTAGTTTCTTCAAAATAGCCACCCTTTGCTCTGATTACTGCTTTGCACACTCTTGGCATTCTCTCCATGAGCTTCAAGAGGTAGTCACCTGAAATGGTTTCCACTTCACAGGTGTGCCTTATCAGGGTTAATTAGTGGAATTTCTTGCTTTATCAATGGGGTTGGGACCATCAGTTGTGTTGTGCAGAAGTCAGGTTAATACACAGCCGACAGCCCTATTGGACAACTGTTAAAATTCATATTATGGCAAGAACCAATCAGCTAACTAAAGAAAAACGAGTGGCCATCATTACTTTAAGAAATGAAGGTCAGTCAGTCTGAAAAATTGCAAAAACTTTAAATGTGTCCCCAAGTGGAGTCGCAAAAACCATCAAGCGCTACAACGAAACTGGCACACATGAGGACCGACCCAGGAAAGGAAGACCAAGAGTCACCTCTGCTTCTGAGGATAAGTTCATCTGAGTCACCAGCCTCAGAAATGGCAAGTTAACAGCAGCTCAGATCAGAGACCAGATGAATGCCACACAGAGTTCTAGCAGCAGACCCATCTCTAGAACAACTGTTAAGAGGAGACTGCGCGAATCAGGCCTTCATGGTCAAATAGCTGCTAGGAAACCACTGCTAAGGAGAGGCAACAAGCAGAAGAGATTTGTTTGGACCAAGAAACACAAGGAATGGACATTAGACCAGTGGAAATCTGTGCTTTGGTCTGATGAGTCCAAATTTGACATCTTTGGTTCCAACCGCCGTGTCTTTGTGAGACGCAGAAAAGGTGAACGGATGGATTCCACATGCCTGGTTCCCACTGTGAAGCATGGAGGAGGAGGTGTGATGGTGTGGGGGTGTTTTGCTGGTGACACTGTTGGGGATTTATTCAAAATTGAAGGCACACTGAACCAGCATGGCTACCACAGCATCCTGCAGCGACATGCCATCCCATCTGGTTTGCGTTTAGTTGGACGATCATTTATTTTTCAACAGGACAATGACCCCAAACACACCTCCAGGCTGTGTAAGGGCTATTTGACCAAGAAGGAGAGTGATGGAGTGCTGCGGCAGATGACCTGGCCTCCACAGTCACCGGACCTGAACCCAATAAAGATGGTTTGGGGTGAGCTGGACCGCAGAGTGAAGGCAAAGGGGCCAACAAGTGCTAAACACCTCTGGGAACTCCTTCAAGACTGTTGGAAAACCATTTCAGGTGACTACCTCTTGAAGCTCATGGAGAGAATGCCAAGAGTGTGCAAAGCAGTAATCAGAGCAAAGGGTGGCTATTTTGAAGAAACTAGAATATAAAACATGTTTTCAGTTATTTCCCATTTTTTGTTAAGTACATAACTCCACATGTGTTCATTCATAGTTTTGATGTCTTCAGTGAGAATCTACAATGTAAATAGTCATGAAAATAAAGAAAACGCATTGAATGAGAAGGTGTGTCCAAACTTTTGGCCTGTACTGTATTTCTAATAAAGTAGCTGCTCAAGGAGAATTTGCTGTCGTTTTAAATTACACTGATTGTTACCAACAGTAACCATGAGTGCCACCAAATCAACCAGAATGGAAATCTTAAGGATAACAACTTTAACTTCACAAACAGACATCAAAATGATTTTATAGTTAATTTAGTTCACAAAGCTGTCTACCACCATTTACAAAAATTGCTATGATTTGTTAATGTTTTTTGTTTGTTTTTTTTTGCAGCTGAAAGTAGCTCCTCTATTTCCTTTGTGCATTGCATTGTGGGAAAGTAGTTCAACAATATCTGAAACATACCTAACTATGCTGCAATGTGACCAGGGATCAAAACTGTTGACTGTGTATTAATTGATCTTAACAGTAATGTCTACTTCACCAGTAAAATGATCATTTGTTGTCAATCACTCAGTAAACGGAGAATCCAAAAAAGACAAACATTCCTCATGAATTGAACTAGGGGAGGGCCGTGTTTAACAATAGCTAAACTATCAATACAATTCAAAATATTTCTCAGTCTGATAATCAGAGTGGGTCAAAGTTCGAGAGCCAGTCTGGAGGTGACGTACTTTGATTTTAACTGCAGACTCAGGCTTCATGCAGTCAGGAACACTTAAGCAGAGGAGAGAAATGAGGTGAAGCAGCAGCAGCAGCAGCAACAGCAGCAGCAGTAGAAGTCGCTGCTGTGCCCTTTTTAAATTGAGTTGGGTTGTCCATTACTAGATACCATCCAAAGGTGAATCACTAAAATCTCTACTTCTCAGTTCAGTTTTTAGCTTGAAGTTTTCACACAATAACAAAATGCGTATTGTGCACCCACTATGTTTTTTTGTTTGACTAATAGACATGATCTGGTGAAGGTAATTAAATTATCAGAGACTGAATGATGAAAGCTAAAACATACATGTATTTGATACAAGATCGTAGTAAAGAGACATCAAATGAGGAGGGGATGGAAAGTGATTACAGATAATCTGCATTATAAGGTTACATTTATCTACATCATATCTTTACTTAATTCACTGTTGAATTGTGCTGATTATTCTACATAAGGAGTGGCTGCAAGATTTTTCCATAACTGCATCTATCTATCTATGAAGCCACGATTAAAGATCAGGTTTTGATGCTGAGGCCAGCCACCGAAGGAAAAATTCATATAAAGCCATTATCTTGTACATAAATCCTGCTCGGACAAACAAACAGGAAGTAATACAGAAAGCAAGAGGTAAATATTTATGTGATTGATGATACTAACAGGGAGATACTGTTACACTCTTGCAATCTCCTGTAAAAAAAAAAAAAAACCATGACAGTAAAACTGTTTACCTGTCACCAGTAAATGATTGTGTCATATGTATTAAACTGACTTTAAACTGTCATTATATTGTGTTTTAGTTCTTGTTACTCACTTTCAGAAGTCAGAACTAAAAGTCTAACTGTTTGTGCTTCTTTAAATAAAGATAAGATTGCAATAAAGATAAGTAGGATTTCTAGTTTGCTTCTGTTAAGAGCACAATGGAATTTTTCTTATCTTTGACCGATAAGATATTTCACCTGTTAGCCACGTAGAGAGGCTTACGTCAGGCATCTTTATACAGTATTTCTCATAATGATAATCTAAATGTTTGTTTTGACTGGGTAAAGCACTAAAAGAAACGCACTGTGTAGCTGCTCCTTGAACACAACATATATGCAACTAGCGTGACAGCACTTTACTCTACACTGGGAGACACAAGGCCACATTTAATTACATTAACATTATGTAACGTTTACATAACATTAGATTTTCTGCAAATTATAGGCTATATATATATATATATGTTTAACTGCAAACTCTGGGCCGAACTATAATGGCTGATTAAAAACCTTAAATAAGACGTCAATCTAAAAAAACTTAAATTAAATATGTACTTAATATTCAGACAAAGACTTTAAAAACATATGGAGTTGAATAGTTGTGAATAATTGGATATACAGTAATGCTCATGTGCCACTGTTCTCCTGTTCGTTATCCATTGGCTTCTAATTTTGCTTATTTCTTGTGTCTGCTTTGCTACTTTACCTATTTTCATTTTGTTCTGTACATTCAAATCCAGCAACACATGAAATCAGAGAAATGTGATTACACAAAATGACATTTTGTGCACCAGTGAGAGACTCAGAGCGAAGCCCAGGAATCCTTAAGTGCTCTCTAAAATAAACAAAGATGAGAGTAGCTGCGAGCGAGGCAGCTGAGGTTGTTTTTTTTCCCAGTCCCCTGGAGAAGTCGATTACTGAATAAGGCTGCAGGAAGCTTAATCGCGGGATAAGTGGGAGAAGAGATAGATGCGTGTGCAGGATACTCACTGGCAATGTACGAGGAAACGAACACACCGGCGAGCATGGCGCCCTGAGAGAGACGCAGCAGCAGAAACACCACGGCGCTGTTGGACAAACACACGGCCACCCCTAACAGACTGGACAGACTGATGGAGAGGAGGAAGCATAGCCGACGACCAAACCTGGAAACACAAATGCAGTCATGTTTCTATTATCTGTCAGTGACAAAACATACACAAGTGAAGTAAGGGAGCTAAACAAGTGGTAAACAAGCATTTAAAGAATAAAAGCATATGAATAAATTGTGTAAAATATATAAATGAACTAATAGACTGTGAAATCAATTTAAAAATTACCAAAACTCAACTCTATTAGATATTTTCATTGTACTTATTGTAATTTATAAAAGAGTCATTTTTATTTCAAAATGACATGTCAAAAGTCTGCTTTTATTTTGTAATGGCTTTTCCCTAGGTACAGTTTTATTTTACAGAACTTTTCACTTCATAATCAATGACTGTAAGGAAATAATGGAGGTAGCCACAGTGACATCACCCATTGGTTTGTGTTTCTGAATCAAATATCTTGTGGCTGCTGTAAATAAACACAGTGCACAGAGAAAAAAAATCTCTCTTTTCAGTTGATCAGCAGTGTTTCCACGCTGTGTTTAAGGAACCTATATATTTATATATATATAGCTATATTTCTAGTTATCTTGACTGTGTGGCCTTCAATTTGCAATTCCTTGGATATTGAAGGCTACTCCATGTTAGTGTCTTTCTTATGTATTTAATATCGAACACCGGGGTTCCAAGTTAAATATAATTATTACTTACCAGTCACACAATGTACCAAGGAGGATGTATCCCAGAATCCATCCTGTCATGAAGCAGATATGCTGCAAAGGGATTTTCCAGTAGTCGCTGCAAACCAGGTTCCACTGCAGAGGAAGACAAAGAAGTACGTCGACACACCGTCAAGCCAAAACTAAACTCACTGTCTAAGTGTTGTACAACATTTTTATGAGCTCCAATTAAAAATGTTTCATGTGGTTAGTGTTTTTTCTTTGATCAATAAGGCTGAATTCCTGCACTCAGTCCCAAACCTGCTTCCCCACAAGACTTAAATCTTGAAAGATAGGTCACAAATATAAAGTTTAATTCCTAAAAGAGGCTCATTAATCTCCTAAAATGTCTGGGCACTGTGGTTTTTAGCAAATGTTACTCAAACAGAAGTAAACAGTGCATTTATTGGGGACTATTTTCAGCTGTGGATTAATACACATTAGGTGCTATAGTGAGTGTTTGCGGCAGCAGGACGGTTCACATGAGGTTGGTTAAAAATAAACTACAACGCCCAGGTTCATCGTTGCGAAGGGATGTGTCACCTTGTGTGACTCGTTAATGAGTTTATAATTGTTTGTGAGCAACAATGGAGGTCTGATGCACGAAGGGACAAGCTAAATCAAGAATAACCTTGCTAGTGAGATCAATTAATGGTTGTGACTGACGCATGCTTCACAGTATACGGTAACATTTCAGACTTCAAACAGTGGCTACCTGGAGTGAAGGGAATCAGACTAGAAACTTGCAGCATGCTTCAGAAAACAGACAACAGCAGGGTACATCTGATAAGCAGCAGTATATTTAAAGCACTCCCCAAATAACTTAGGGGTTATCTGTATACATCATAAATATGTGGTTAACTCAATTTATTCTTGAAATATAATTGGAACATTCAAAGACATAAAAAGGTACACGAACAAATTGTCGCCAACGAGCTGCATTCATCATAATCTGACACAAACACAAAGAGATTTCAGTGAGGAAGCAGGAATGTAGATCCTGTCGTTCCCAATTGAGTTAAGGCGTCTGCTGACAGTGTTATTACATTAGAACAAAGTAGTGCACAAAGTAGAGGCTGCCAGCGGCTCCACGTCTGGTTAGTAACCGGTCGCTGCCTGTGAGAGAATTCTTCTCCTTTCCCTCTGTCTGCTCCACCATGTGCTCTGTGTGCAGCGGGGACATTTCATGACAGTAGAAAGCATTTTACAGACATTATAGATTCAAAGTTTGGGATCGAAACATTAAAAGGACTAAAAACAAACCCCCAACAATGCTACATCTCTGCACATCCACAAAACTTCAGCGGGATTAGTGCTCAGTCTCGGGAACTGCCCATTGGTCCTGCATCCCATTGTTCCGACCATATTAAACTCATTGTTCCGAAGTCCCGTTGTTCCTAAATCATCATGATGCCCTGTGGTTAAGGTCTGGTTAGGTTTAGGCACAAAAACCACTTGGTTAGGGTCAGGAAAAGATCAAAGTGTGGGTTAAAATGAAAAAGAAAGTGACCAACACATAAGTCGTGAGCCTGCTCTGCCTCAAGCCTTTCCCAGCTGACCCAGAGCCGGTCGCGGCGCACCATCAAGGCAGAAATACACCCGCCGGGAGCTGTTTAGCACCGCGGACCGTCGGACTAATGGGATGTCGGACCAATGGGCTGTCAGACCAATGACACAGACCCCTCAGTCTCAAACCTCAGAGCGCCAAAAACTGCCAAGTACCAAAAGCCGGTATTAAATACTTACTCAGGTTCATACCTTTTTGTTTTTTACTTATTCTTTGAACAGATGGTTTGTGATTTAAACCTTACCAATTTAAGATTATACTTGTATAACTGAACAAGCTTGTTGTTTGCATGTTCTCCCTGTGTCAGCGTGGGTTTTCTCCGGGTACTCCGGCTTGCTCCCACAGTCCAAAGACATGCAGGTTAGGCTAAGTGGTGACTCTAAATTGGCCGTAGGTGTGAATGTGAGTGTGAATGGTTGTCTGTCTCTATGTGTCAGCCCTGCAACAGTCCGGCGACCTGTCCAGGGTGTACCCAGCCTCTCCCCCAATGTCAGCTGGGATAGGCTCCACAGGATAAGAGGTTACAGAAAATGAATGAGGCTGAGTCCGGCTCTTAACTGTGACTTGTTCAAAGAATCCATGCCAAAGTCCAGCGTTGAGTTTTTATGATTATTTATGAAACAAACAACTGAGAAATGTGAAAATAATGTGAAACCCACACCTGTGCCAATTACAACCGGAAGTGAAAGTGACCGAAAGAATGTGCAGCTTAACAAATAATAAACAGCGGAGGTTAAATACACATTTTGGCTCCTACAGAATGAATGAATGACTAAACAGCTGCTGTTCATAAGTATTTAAAGGGATATAAATGAACTGTGGTAAACCTCCCTCCATCTAACCAGTATCTAGATATCCCTCCTCTCCCCCAGCAAGACTCCGCCGGATGACCCATGCTGCCACCATGGACTGAATATAGAAGAAGACAGTATAGAAGCAGATTAAGTGAAAGACTCGCCTCTCTTTCTTTCTCTGAAACTCAGACCAAACTCCGATCAAGCAGTAAAACCAGGCAGTGCTGATCGAATACATGTCAAGATTATGTAACCGTATTGCCTATTTTTCATGTGTGTATTGTGCGCAGTGTCTCTATGCTAGAATATTACCTGCTGCTGTGTTTGCTGTGTGGCTATCTGAATAAACAAAAGTTCATTTTGGGATATGTTCAATAAAAGCACAATATGAAGGTCTTAGAACTAGATTTTGATAGTGTCCCTCATCAACTTTTTCACAATTGGTGATCGAGCCCTGAGTGCAGGCATACAAGGAGGTCAAACAGTCTGACCTGCTGGTGCACTAGGTTCAAACACTGCAACAATTTTGTAATGTATCAAGTCAAATCAATGAAAATGGCTTTCGGAAAGAGAACGAACATCCACAAGCTGCTGCTCGCTCATTAACAATCACCTCAGAGATTCAGTTAATCGACACCTCTGTCTCACAAAAAGACATTCTGAGCTTTTCCCAGCTGACAGTAAAAGACTACTGTACTCTGTTCGTGTTTGAAGGTGATGAGCACTATTGTGTTGTGCTCAATTTTTCCTCCATTAAAGTCTTCCCTTGCTGCAACAAATGACCACAGGAAGCTACTGTTGGCGAAGGAGGCGGTCAGGGTCGCAGGAAGGAACATGGAGGCCTCAGACTTCCCTGCAGCGTCACGAGGGAACAACGAGGAAAAGTCTCCTTACTGCCAGGATCTGCTTCCTTGATGCCGTGATACACACACAAGACCTCGAGGGACAGTTACCCATAATGACTCTGTCTTCCCTGTAACCGCCGTGGTTTGGACACTACACCAACTCCTCTGATGTTGTTTTACTGTGCAACACAGGAACAGATGTAGTGTGCTCGTGGGCGGTGTTTGCACGGGGTCACATTGAGAAATATTTTGGTTAGAACCCGTTATCAGTGTTTGCAGACTGGGATGGATCCTTGAGCAGCTGAGGTCCAAGGAAGCAGACGGAGGAGAAGATAAACACCTTTCTGCTGCCTGAATACACATGTGGTTGCACAACAAGATTATGTCAAAACCCATCGCCATGAAGAATGTGAGACACACAGAGGATCCATGGTCAGCCTCACACACCCTACCTCACAGTCAACACTTGAGTTTACAATCCTACACTGTATTTCTATGGTCTAAGGAGCAGTAATGTCTCCACTGCCTGTGTGAGCTGCTACCTGTGACCCTGCAGTGTCAGATGGCTGAAAGGTGAGAGTGAAACACAGTTTTAACTGTTCAGCCTGAGCAAATATTGACTGACTGCTGCCAACAGCCGTCTTCATAACCACACATGCTTCCAGCTGAGATAAACTCCTGCTAGTGAGCAGAAACTAGAGCAAATCCAGTTCAGCACCACCATCTTGGAGCAAAGCCAATGATAAAAATGTAAATGGGAGGATGTTGTTTCTTTGTATAAATATTGTGACAGTTAGTTGTAAAATGGGGTAAATAAAAACATGGATAAAATCAACAACATGCAGTCAAATTAGATCCAAAAAAGATGTTTTTGATGCGCTGCTGTGGCTGTGACTCTTATATCAGCCTAAAAATGTGGATCTTTTGTTTCTCATCTTCACCCTTGCATCTCCAAATTGAAGCCAAACACCCACACAGCCCTGAGAGACGACCAGCAGGCTCAACAGTCTCTTACCTCCGTGACAAAGTTGCTGTGCAGCCCCGCAACATGGGAGTACTCCCACCCCACGGTGCAGGACACCCTCTCCCTGGGCACCTTCTCGGAAAACTCCGTGCTGTTCGCTGGATACTTGAACAACTCGCAGTGGCTGAGCCCGGAGCCGTTCACCCAGGGGATGGTGAGGTTCAGGTACCCCTGTCTGGAGAAGTTGCTGGGGAGGAAAGCGGACGGCAGCAGCCGCGGGTCCGTCCTGCAGTGATACGACTCCGGGATCAGGGTGTAGAAGACGTCGCTGAATAGATTCAGCATGACCGCAAAGTTTGGGAACCAGCTGAAAAGAACCACGAGTCGGTTGTAGCGTCCATAGCCGCCGATGTGAAGGAAAATCTTGGTCTCATAATCCATTTGAAGACGAGTGTTTGTTAGAGTGCACGAGTCTGGGGCCATTGCGGAGTGAGTGCGCACGCTCGACAGCTGAACTACACAGCAGCAGGTAAAGCGCGCAGGGAGGAGGAGGAGGAGGAGGAGGATGAGGAGGGCGGAGGCAGCTGGGGTCGACCTATGAGACACCTGCTGGGCTGCCTCAGTGACTCAGTGCAGGGTGGCCCCTGAGTCACACAGAACAACAGTCAGCACACAGAGACGGGAAAGAAGGAACTAAAGTTACCAAGTATCTGTCACCAATCAAATTATTTTTGGATCTGTGCGCCCACGTGACTCAGCAGATGACTTGTGACAGCTCGTGATTACATAGTAAAATATGGCAGCTTTAAATGAGTTTAAATTCACTTTTCATTCTTAGGGACATGGGCGGAGTATGAGACAAAAGGCTCCTGGGCACAGACATGCAAAAGGCCCCACCCCCCCACTGCACAGGAGCACATGTATCCATTTTACACTAATATTAGTGCGTGAACATGTGTTTTTAAAACAGGGTTAACCTGCTGAAATAGGCAACAGACTCCTTTCCCACTGCCAGTAGACCAGAGCTGTGCACACGGCTCTGCAGCAGACGAGTATGCCTTTCTGTGTGTGTGTTTTTTTTCCCTGTGTGTCATGAATAGACCGGACAGGTTAGTAGAAAGCAGCATGGAGCGCTGTGAGAGCTTTATTTATTCAGTCTCTCTTTTGAGCTCAGTGCAGACTCATTTGGATCGATGTGTAAGCGCTGCTGGTGTGCAGACAATGATATCATCTCCTTGGTAAAGGGGCTAAAATTAGTGCATTCACCCAGGTGTTGTATTTGCCATCGATGCCCATCAGAGCCGGAGCAGATAAATATCAGTGACTACTGCAGAGTCATCTGACGTGGGAGTGGATGATGATTGTTAAGTTTTCTATTACATTAAAAAGTCAGATGTAAGCAGGTGTTAGTGGGGGTTTTGTGCAGTGGGAAAGGGGCTCAAAACTTTTTGGTTTTGCCTCTTTTTTTCTCTGTTGTTATGCATGTCTTTGTAGTCATTGTGCATCTTTTTGGGGTTTTGTGTCTCTACTTAGTTGTTTGGTGTCACTTTATGTTTGTTTTCTTGTTGTTGTGTGTCTCTTTGTGGTAGTTTTGCCCCTTTTTGTCCTTATTTTGTGTCTATTTGCAGTCCCTTTGCATCTTTTCATGGTCTTTTTTTGTCTCTTTGTTGTCATTTCGGTCTCTTCCCAGTTGGTACGCGTTAATTTAAGTGATATTTTGCAATTTTGCAGATGAAGGTCAGAGGGGGCCCTGACCCTTTGGGCCCTGGAGCCAGTACGTGGTAGCCCCCCTCAATAATCCATCCATAGCTAGAAATATGGAAGTCGGACATTAAAAATGAGCAAACTGTAACTCATAAGTCTACAACCCCTGTTGTTGTCAAATGATTCAGTAGTGCACTTTCATGAAGCTGGGATACAATTGATAGACAGAGTTAAAAAAAAAGGGTCAAAATCAAAGCGGCAGCAGAGTTATTATAGTTTCTTTCTTTTTTGATTTGTTTAATTTTCTTATTTTAATTCAGTTTACTCTCAGTTAGTGCCCACAGTGGGTTTGCTCCTTTCACTTTAGTTTTAATTGTTTACAAGTGTTACGTTTCAGTTTAGTTTTTATTAGTTTCAGTATTAGTTTGGGTTTTTTATGGGGGGTATTTTTCAGAGGCAAGATATAAGAAGTTCACAATAGGTATTACAATAAAAACACAACACTTTGTGAAGGCAGTTGACTCACAGTTACGGAAACATCCCAGTGACAATAAGCACACGCACTAAGGCTTCCTCATCCCTGTTGTGTTGACCAACTTGACCAAAGTGGCAAAGATTGAAATTACAACTTTTGTATATTTTTAATTTTAGTTTGTTTTCTAAGTACACAATATGGTTTCAGGTAGTTTTCATTTTTTCTTTAAGTCTAGTTTTATTTTCATTTCAGTCAACTAAAATGTTTTTAACACCTGCTTTTATCCTTTTTAGCTGGATCCTACACTTCCCATAATGCATCAGTGTCTTTCATTAGACCCTGCCTGGCCCCTAAATGTCCAGTGGTGTCGAACAAAACACCTCCAGCTTTAAAATGCAGACTTTGTGTTTAAAAACTTGCTGAAAATCCAGTTTTAATATTAAGGACTGAACTTTTACAGGATACTTCTGGTGTTAGGAATAAATATTTCTGATATCACAAAAAAATAAATTGTAATATTAGAGGAGATAGTCAGTCGATTGTCAGTTTTTATCACTTAGGTCCTAATATACACCCAGCTCCTCTAAAATGCAGCTATGTATTATAATATTTATTTATTTTTTATTTTAGTTGCCTGATTTTGCCTATTCAGTGCTACATTTGTGGCCTCGAAGTGCCAGTAAGTCCAGATACCAGAGGTTTATTCAGCCTGAAACTAAACTTGGCCTTAGTGTTGAGTGTTAGCTGACACTGTCTGTAGTGGGATCAGTGGATCAGTTGGGATCTGTGACTTCAGGATCAAAAAATGCATGGTGCTTCAGCAGGTGACTTGAGATTGTTCCGTGTGGCTTTACCTAGAATCATCATATTACATTACACTGGAAGTCCAGACACAAGCTACAAGGAACTGTCTTATTTTTATGATTCATGCAAATCCAGGTGATGACTCATGAAGACAAACTGGTTCCTCTGCCTTGTGACAGTACAGTTTATAATGGTGACTGCAATAAGTGCCATAAATAGGTTTGGCAAAATTATGTAATCTGTTTGGTGACGGGACTCCGATGAGCCTGAGTTAGATAAAGACAAAGCTATATGAAGACAGCGGACATGACTGAGAATAGAATGATTTACTATTCTTGATGACAAGCCTGATAAATAGCTCTGATATGAACAGAGATGTGATTTTGGTCAGAGATGTTCAGGTTGAGTGAGTGAGCTCTCCCAGGCTGCTTCTCATACGTAAAAAATTTGGTAGCTGTGTCACAGAAGGAATTTCAAGCATTCAGATTGGGAAACACCGAAGACCTCTGACAGCAGAGCGTTACCTCATCCTGCTGTCAACAGAAACTGGTCTCCTGGACCACCATAATAACTCTGCTGGTCTTTATGTTGAGGTAAATGTTATTTAAATGTATAGTAATTACTTGAAAGGGGAAAGTTCAGATTTTTTGAACTGGGGTCGTATGGGGGAATTTATTCATAGACAGTGTATTACATACAGTAGATGTGAGTCGGCATGCCCCCAGTTTGGAGAAGCAGGCTGGAGTCCGACATGGAAGCTAAGCACTGTACTGCTGTGGAGGGGTCAGCAACAAAATGTATTTTAGCCACCTAAAAATATCCGTATCAGTTTAAATGTACACTGCGTTTCTAATATTTCCAGTGCTTTACTTTGCAGTCAGACAGTGATTTCCAACAGGAAAATGAAGCTAGACTCCTCTGAAGAAAAACAGTAACTTAACATTGCTGAACACGGCAGCTGTGCATCTTCCACGCCTCGATCAGTTTGTTTGTGTTATTGTGTGACATTGGTGTTTAAAGGGTTAGTTCAGATTCACCAAAGTCACACAATAACACAAACTAACTAACTGATGGAGGCTGCAGCTCCTGTGTTCAGGCCTGCCGTCAGGAGGGGTCAAAGCGTACAGATGACCTCCTGAAATTGCTTAGATTGGATTTGACTGGAAAACTACAAGTTGACAGCCAAATACTCTTCAGACTTTTAAGACCATTTAATTTGTTCACTCCTGATTTCTTATGATTTAATGCCTTGCAGCAATTTCCTCAATCAGCGTTTGACTTTTCTTTCATCATATATTTGAGGGCATTTCACAGACAGAATGAGGCTAAAATACATTTTGTTGCTGACCCTGTCCACAGCAGTACACAGCTTAGCTACTGTGTTGGACTCCAGCCTGCTTCTCCAAACTGGGGGCATGCTGAGTGACAACTACCATAGGTAATACATTGACTGTGGATAAGTACCTAATACAACCCCACTTCAAAAAATTGGAACTATCCCTTTACAGTATTTAGCTTAGGGTCTTAGCTACAAATAAATGTTTCAGTGGTTTATGTGCACAAATGTTCTCTAAAATTAGGTGATCTGTGATTCAGGTCATGTTGTGGATTGGTGCCAATCAGCCCCATCACCAACCGGTCCTAAGGACAGAGGGATGTCGTATGCTGTAAAGCCCTGTGAGGCAAATTGTGATTTGTGATATTGGGCTTTATAAATAAAATTGATTGACTGATTCACAATCATTTGCAAAAAATGAAGCAAGATTGCTTCATTGCATGTGTGATGAAGGGCAGGAGCCTGAAACGTTACATCTAAATAAATTTTCAAGGAGCAGCTTCTGGTGTGCGGACTTTATCTTTTATTTCATACTTACCTTTTGGTCCAGCACCCAGCATTAAGTTTTTTGGGATGTGCGTGCTATCGTTACCTGTTAGTGTTAAAAAATGAAGCAACCAATGGAAAAAATTTAACATTAACTTCAAAGAAGAACTACAAAACATGAATATTTAATAGAGTATCTGCCTACTTTTTGTTTTTAAAACCAAACACTTATAAGCAACTACGTTTGCCATCGACCATTTAAAATAGTAATTAACAATATAAATGTTGTTTTTAAACTTCCAAAATAGTTTTAATCTCTCAAAATACAGCTACAGCTCTTGATTTTACAGTTGGTTGGCACAACCCTGCCCACAGCTGACCCAACTTGTGATGAAATTATGTTTGCCAGCGACCATTAATCATCACAGACTGTCAGATCTTATATCAAAATGTAGCTGATTGCTCTATTAACTAGAAGTAACACATTCCCAATATCTCTAACAGTTTTATAATACCTAGTCCACAGACCACTTTTACTTAAAATTTCACCCTCATCATAAAAGTAAGTGACTTTTAGATGTTTTCACGTAGTAGCTGAGTGCAGATGAAGACAGCAACATTCTGATGTCACATTTTTATTTCTGTGACCTTCATAGGATCAGAAAAAAGCTGTGCGCCAATCAACCCCGGTCTCCCCTATGTTCGGTGTATCAGAGGAACTTTATGATGTGGGTGCATGTGATGTAGCATGTACATCATGACACACACACACAGCACAAACACAAAATCAAGAACCAGAGGACGGCCGGCAATATTTCAAAATTTTATTAACGAACATAATCTCTGAGGAACAACAGCAGTTCTCGCGCTCTCTGTACATGCAACTGTAGAAAATAACAATTTAGAATTTTTACTTTTCAGTTTTAGTCTTTTTTTCCCATCCATCCTCATTTTCAGTTTCTCGCATTTTTGTCTTTTTATGTCTTTTTTTTAACTTTTATTTTTTTTGCAGGAAATCAACAACAGCTAGAGGTGAAAGTACTGGATTTCTGTTACAGCACTGACAATAGCATCGACAACCCCACCCTCATATACCCCACCCCTCCCCCGCCCCTCTTAGCTGCTCCAACAATATGTACACAAATAAACTACATTGTACAAATAAAAAAATGTTACATTGTTACATCATAATCACCTGCAGCAAGCGCACGCAGCTCGTTGCTGTTAGAACCCCACATTCTACGCAATTTTTCAGACTAGTACAAAGAGGAGGGTGCAAAACGTCCTGGGAGGTTTTATTTACAGAGCTATGTACAGTATGTCTCTTTCACGCATTACAAGGAGGAAAATTTACACAGCGGAGACCAACTTCAAAACAAAAACATACCACAGGTGTCAGAAAAAAAAACAAAAACAAAAACAAAAACAAAAAAAAAGATAATAAATAGGTTATTTCTCACCAATTAAAGAGTAGTTCTCCATGCTTTTTATTAGTCATTTTTCACTCTAAAAAAGGAACAAAGAAATAGCTACAGTCTTGGTTTTTAATTAAAAAATTAACAAAACTAGAAATAAAAAGGCTTGAAATCGTGATTCTATAGAATGAAAAAATAGCAATTATGTATATTTATGTCCAGTAAGAAAAAAAACAACAAATAACAAATCTAAAATAAACATTATGAGTGAATGTGAGGAGAGTAGAGGTAATATGTTGCTGACTGAGGTGGTGTCAGGCTAGCATCTGTATCACCACGGCCAAGTGCTCTACTGTGCATCTGAGGGCTGATGTGTGTGTTTGTGTCTGTGTTCAATTTACCCAGAAATCACTGTTTTTCCTTAGATGAGTATTCACACTGCAGAAATCGACGCGGATGGATGTGTTTAGTCTGTTGTTCTGTCTGTGCAGCGGCGTACCGCAGACTGAGGGGGTAGAAATCGCCTGTCAGTTGTGTCGACCATCACCATTTCAAGCCTTTGTGGTTCAAATAAATGACTGATTACAGAAGTAAAAACAAAGGCAGGGCTTTACACCGTTAAAAAAGGTGACACATGAAAACGGAAAAACACACTTGATGTCTTGTAAACAATAGTGAGAGGGTGTGGTCGATCAGGGCATAGTAACGGTATACATTCTGCTTGATAAGCAACGTGATTGACATGCCACTGGAGTTTATGCTTTATACAGGAACAAAAGAAAACCCCTAAGATAAACACAACAACATTCAAAACTACATACACTGAGCTAAAAAACACACAAGGATCCTGTGAACAAAAAGACACCCTTTAAACCTTGTCCCCCCAAAAAACTGTAAGAAACCAACGACAAATTAAAAACAAAAAAACATGACAAACAGGGGTTTTAAAAACTTTCTGGCTATTTGTATCCAAATATGTATGCCTATGTATACCAACCAGGATGTGTGTGTATCTCTCAAAAGATTACCCAGGACTATACATCTAGCCACCTTGTCTGCACAGTGTAATAGCAACAACCATTGCACTTGACTAGACATACCATACACAGCTATGCTGACTGACAGTGTGTAAATAACTTTTCAGATAATATTGCCATCAGGATACATGAGCAGCTCTCGCACACAGATGGGGAAGCCTGTGTGGTAGGTCGGGAAAGCTTTTCAAAACCAGGACCCACTTGTAAAAATAGAGAATCAAATACAGGTCAGAAATCAACGTGGGATTTTTTTAAATTGAGGATAAAAAAAGAAATATAATCAGCATTTAGCTATTTCTTTCCCCTCCACTGTTGGTGTTGATGTCTGTCCACTTTTTGGTTCGTTCTGAGAAGGTTTAAGTCTCGTAGCTGTCTGCTCGGGCCTGACACAGGAACGTGACGACAGAGTAATATGAGGAAGTAACCGAACATTTAAAATCCCTGACAAAACCTGCCAAACTCCCGTGCCGATTGATAAAAATTAGAAGGCCGACGTGACTGGAGTTATGATTTATTATCATGGTGTTGTGTTGGGAACTGAGCTCCCTATAGCCTGTGATAAAACATTATTATATTTAAAAACACCCATTCAAGTGAAAGGCCACAGGTCTGATGTGAAGCCAATTAGGTTTTTGAGTTTTCTGACACACTGGCGCCATCCAGTGACTAAAGCTGGAACAGCACCTAAAACAACAAGCTGCTCACCAATACTGGACGAAGGGGCAGACAGACAGACAAAACAAAGTTACAAGTATGGAATGAAACCTTTCACTGGCTGTTACGACTCTTCAGTCTATTCAATGTGAAATGCAGACGAGCTGGGAGAACAGAACACGTAATGAAGCGCTGAAAGACCCGCGTCCCGTTGGTTTTTAGAGACGAGGCTTTGTGATGATTATAAAGTATCCGACGTCCAATTTTTGTAAATTAAAAAACACGGAAAATGGTTTTGAAACGACACGATGCTCGTGAATGACATCTCTCTCACTTCCATCCCTCCCATATATATCTATGTGACTTTGCCCAACAATGAGTACATTTTTTTTTTCACTGAAAAAGGCATTTTCTTGGTTCGAATTTTTTTCAGATATAATTGTGTAGTAAAGCAATGAATAATAATCCTCTGTCTATTCTTTAAATAAATCCTCAACAACTATTCTGCTACATCTGAGGGACTATATGGTGGTTTAATCCAGAAGTGTTCTCTGTCAGCTATTTGTGAGTTGTGGCGATCCGCGTCCGGGCGAGTTGCCGTACGTCACCCCTGGACGGGATCTACAGATGGGATCGTACAACTGTGCACTGGAGTCTTTCAAATACTGACAGAATCGTGTACACATTTTGGCCCATGGATATGAGGGGGGAGGGGGAAAGTGCTGCCCAAAAGTGAACTGTACATAAAAAGATACTTTTTATTTCTTTTATGTTTTTTTCTTTACACTTAACTGAGTGATATTACAGTACATAGGTTATTTACAACTGTGCAGTAATGTGTGGCAAAATAAATTATCTAGAAGGCAGCAAGAATACATTGGTTAACGAATATAAAAACTGTACATAATTTACGGAATACAACTTTTTTTCATTTTTCTTTTTGTTTTTTTTTCCATTAAACTAATATTGGCTCTGTAGTGTTTCAAGTCACTTCCTCAGAAACAATGAAATGCCCAAGTAAAGAAATAGACACAAACAATATTTCTCTCCTCCTGCCAAAGCACAAATTTCTCAATAGTCACTTTGAATCTCAACATTCGTTATGTTTGTTTCTTCTGGTTGTCCTGTGGTGGTTTTTGCAGTCCATGGCGGTCTGATGTGTTTGTGTTGGAGCAAGCAGGGTGGCTGAGGAACACTCCGGTCTGTCCTCAGAGATCCATGCCTGTCCTCTTCTGTTTCGCCAGGCTGAGAGGCTGCGGGGGTCAGTCTCTTCCTCTCAGACACTGGGCCCTGACGTGCACACACATCGCTAGCCCTCTGCTGTGTTCCAACCTGCTGCAGGCTCTGTTGCACTACTGTTAAGCTAGGCCTGGTGCAGTGTGAACAGAGAGGGCGTCCTCTGGGTATACGGTCTTATAGCCCCAAAACCATCAGTGGCTGGTTCTAGCTTCCTGGTCTGTTCGTCCCATTGAAGATCCACATGATGCACCGCGGCTCCGTTGACGTCTTCTGGGTCAGCGCTGGACTCGGTCTAGTTCTCCTGGCCCACCAGGAGCCCTGGGTCAACAGGGGAGGCTTCTCCTTAGTCCTCCCCCAGGACAGGCACCACGCTTGTTGGGAGAGCTCCTCTCTGATGCCTCCTCCCAGCGGTGGTGGTGGTGGTGGTGGTGGGTCTATTGAAGCAGGGATCAAAAATGAATGCAGAAAATATATCTCTGTCCCCTGTCTCACCGAAACTGAGCGCTGAGGAGTTGTGTCCCGATATCAGAGCCCCAAAGCAAAAACTGTTTCTGCTTCTCACACTCTGATCAAACAAAAGTGTAAAAACTTTGAGGATGAAAGTGCAAGTTGTGTGTTTTCTTTTTCCCCAGTAAAAACATGTTTCCTTCTTCACGGAAGGGAATCCAGAGCAAGTTTTTCATCTTTACTCTTTTTCTATAGAATATAATTTTTTCCTGTCTAAAGTCCTCTTTCAAAACTTGCTAGCCCTTTCCATTCGTTCTGTTCAACGAAGTCTCTTTGAGAAGAAGTGATTCAGACAAAGTTTGCTCTTAATCTGTGAGCGCAGGTGTGTCATGCGGGCAGCAGGACAAAGTCGTCGTTGACATCGACCATTGGCACGTAGAAGGAGGGAACTTCGTTGACGCAGAGGGACTTGTGCCCTGCCGGGTCCAGCTCCTGGACCTTCAACTGCCACTCCATCCTTTGAACTGCATTGAGGGCTGCTGCCTCGTGCTGTTGCCGCATCAACAAACATGTCTGGGGGAGAAGAAACATGGCATAAATCCACTTGGTAAATACACAAGATTATGGTAAACAACAACATAAAGTGAAACACACTATATAAAGAAGGATAACGCCTCTCCACTTCCTTCTACTGTACAAAAATGAAGCCAAAATATCCTGGATATGGGCACTGCCATCTTGAGCTGGTGGTGTAATTTGAAGCCAGACTCTGCACAGTAGCAACCTCAGCGGTATCAAGTTCTCGCCTATACACCTGTCTGACCAACTCCGAGCAGCCGAGCACACCAGCTGGCACACACAGCAGTCAATCATGTCTTCAAACCCATTTTTGAACATATATCAGCGTCATAAGAACTGCCCAAAATAAAAGAGACCATCTTTGGGAAACAGATATTTGACGTCTAATTTGTCTTTTTAGTTTGGCCCGTATCCCATATGTTAACGTGGAGGGGGCGGGGTTTATGACCTATACATCAGGCTTCGATCAAGATGTTTTAGCTTCACTTTTGGGGAGTTGTCATGTTATCTACCTTTACTGTTCAATCAAAAGTATCAATCCCTTTAACCAAAGACATTAAATAACTGCAGAGAGCTGATTTTTACCTTCATGCGGTCATATTTATCGTCCACATCCTGGATCCAGGAAATGAACTGCCGAGCGTTGAAGCGATCTCTCACCGATTTGTTCTCATCACCCTGAGAACACACATCAAGTTACAAAATTTATTAAGTAATGGGTTATGTAATAATTGTCTGCCTCAAATAAAATGTTTAATTGACTTGACGATCAAGTGTGTACTTCAATATTTCCTACCTGGCTCTCTGATGGCATATTGTACACTTCAGAGTCCAACAGCATGGTGCAGGCGCTGAATGGCACAGCCTGATTGGCTATCGTCCTGGCTGCCCTGCAGTGGACCCTTAAAACCTCCTGCTCACATGAAACAATCAGCTTCTCCTGTGGACAGTAAGCAAAAGAGAGAAAGAAAATTAATATGTGACATACAGTTGGGCGTCAGGCTAACTGGTGGGCTGGCTGGTGATGTTAGTAGAGATGGGTCTTGATCAACAAAGCCGCTACATATGTCTCACAGAAATTGTCATCACCTAATTAACGAGAGAGATGAAATAGATTTGTGCCCGCAATTCATTTTGGCTCAGCCTAGAAGTCAGGGGTATGCAGATTTCACTTGCATTTCTATCAAATACAAGCTTTGATCTTTCATCAAAGAAGTGCTCATGGTGTTCTGTGTGCATGTGTGTTGCTGTATGTGTAACAGAAAGGAGCAGAGTGAATTAAGGATAAAGAAAAAGCAGAAAAAGTGTATTTCTTACCCGCTCTATGCTGTGCTGCAACCTGAGCTTCCCTCTCACTGCCTCCTGTTGTCTGAAGAGCTCTTTCAGCGGTTCTGACAGCGATGGAGGTGGGGCAATCTGATGTGCAAACACAACATAGTTTTTAATACATTCTGACCTCTGTTACAACAAACAGTACAAGCTTTGTTAACATTTTATTTAGCCATGTATATCTTTTGAAATGCTTTACTGCCGTTAAGTTACACGTTACCAGAATTAACCTGCTTTAAACCTACTAACTGCTTCAGCTTTATCATGAGGGAACACAGTAAAGACACCATAACTTACCACAGGGATGTGAAGCTTGCTGAGGGGTTTGCCATCCAGCAGGTAGGAGCCAGTGTAGGTCACATATTCAGCGTAACACTGTGGTGCCTGTGGGGTGATGTAGCACAGAATCTTCCTCTTTTCCTCAATCTTCTTCCTGATCTGCAGGTACTCAAAGTACGGGTTGGAACGGTCGCTGTGGTAGGGCTCGATATCGTCCAGCTTGATGGCATTGACCACCACAGCCAAAGTCTGTTGAATCATTTCCCTGGTCTGCTGCATGGCTGTGCTCACCAGCTGGACCTGGACCTGCTGCCCAGCAGAACGTGGAAATTTCCTCTTCCGTGGGTGCTGGGTCTGAGATTCCTCTTCGTCCACGGGGAGAGAGCGACCTTTTGTCGTCCTGCTGATAACCACTGGCGCGGGAGTTGTCACAGGAGCAGGTACAGACACTGCTGGGGTTGTGTTAGAGGAGACAGTGAGCACAGATTCTTTGTCTTTCTTCAGAGCTGGGAAGGAAGAGGCTGAGGTGGGTGTCGGCGTTCTAGTAGGAATCGGGTTAATGGTCACTGTTGGACTGGTCGTTACAGGGGTGGCAGTGGCAGACGAGGTTATTATGCTGGAGGTAGCAGGGACAGCAGCAGCAGAGGGATTGTTCTTGGCGCGATTGCGGGTCATCCTTTGAGGGATTTCATCCACCTTCTTGGGGATATCTACAGTGGCGGAAACAGTGGTCAGGGTTACCGGCGTTAGCTTGGATGTAGTCTCCTGAGTGTCTGGTAGTTCCACTGTGCTGGAGAGGGTGACTGCCACTGGGAGCTGAGGAAGAGGACTGCATGACACAGATTCTGCTACGGGCTCAGACATCTCCTCCTGTCTCACCTCTGACTTGACAGCAGATACTGACTCCATGGGTAACTGCAACGACTCAGTGAGGGAGTGGATCGGTATGTGATGCTGCTGACTGGCATCTGATTTCACAGGTGAGTACAACATGCTGGGTTCCGACTCATCAGGTCCTCCATAAGGTCCTTTTCTTTCCAACATGCCGCCCTGCTGTGTTAGAGACAGAGAGCTGTTAACTGGCAGACTCTGAGGCTCAGGGTCCAACTCTTGCTGGAAGTTGGCATGTGGTGATGGTTCAAGTAAGTCTCGTCCTGTAGGTAAACCTAAGTCTCCAGCAGGGCATGAAGTCTTAGCTAGGCTTGGTAGGTCCACCTCCATTATGTCTGGGTCGTCCCTGTCCGTAATGGTATGTCTAATGTGAGACGGCACAGTCTTGTGCTCATTTAGTTCTGGATCTCGAGACTCAGCTTCTTCTGCCTTGTCTGGTAGTGGTAAGTCAGGCAAGGAGAACGGTCCAAGGTCATCCAGCTCATCTGCATCAGCTGAGAATGGGTCTGCCCACGGCACCACAGGCTCAGGACCCACAGCTGGAGCCATGTGGCTTTCAGTGGTAGCACTGAAGCTGTGCGTGGTCTGTCTGCTGTCTGGTTCGTCACATGTTGTCTCAGTGTCCATCTGCTGACTCTCCTCTATGCCAGGCTTGTTACATTCTTGGAAGAAAGACTCTAGCCTATTGGAGGATGATGAGGTGTTTAAATAGTTGGGTTCCTCATCAATAGCTGTGTCAGGCCTCTCTGGAGAGGGGATCTCAGCCACAGCACCCTTCTCCTCATCAAAGTCCTCTGGTTCCTCTTTGTGCCACCTATTCCATGTAGCATAAGGGGGAGTGACCGAGTGGTGTCCAGACAAGTGCTGCATCTCACTGTCTGAATGGTATGGACTGGTTATTTTGGAGACGGCAGCCTCTATCTCCCCGTAAGTCCTGTGGGGAGATTTAAGGTCCATATCAGGGTTCCAACCCATGCTGTGATCAAAACAGTTCTCTACATGGTTGGGTGCAGGGTGTGCCGGGGAGAGCTCCTGGACCTCTGGCTCCTGCCGGTCTGGAGACTCTGCAGGCCAGCTCTTCCTGAGAGGGTCCTCAACTGGAGGGGAGAAGGAACATGGCTCCCTTGTTTGCTCCGGCTCCTCCACTGCGCAGTGGTCTCCATCAGCTCTCTCATCCAGATCACCATCTTCCTCAAAGTCCTCCTCCTCTTCTTCATCCTCCTCCTCCTCCTCCTCCTCCTCCTCCTCTTCCTCTTCCTGCTCCTGTTCCTCAGTGACAGAGGGAAGATCCGATAGGACCAGGTTAGGCTCACTGTGGTGAGGCTCAGAGATATCATCAATGTCCAGGGGTGGCAAAGCAGCAGGAGCTGGGGTCGGTGGTGCAGCGATGTCGAAGCAGGGCTCCTGGGGGTCTGGCCTGTGAACTGGTGTAGAGGGTTTGGGCAAGAAACTGTTGTACACACTGTCAGGAAGGTGTTCATTGCCCTCAGTGCCAGCAAGAGTTGGTGCAGCCACATCTGGTGTTGGATGGACTGGCTCCCGTCGAGGGGACAACATTCTAATTGGGGAGAAATAGGGAGAAGGCAGGCACTCCAGTCTATCCACAGTTGCTGCTTTGTCCTCTAGAGGTTGGGAGGAAGGTGACGGATCAAATTCAGCTGCTGGATCACTCTGCTGTCGAAGAAACTTGTCAGCCTCAGCCTTGAACTCTTCCTCCAGAGGCCTGCGGACGTCAGAAGACGCAGAACGGCTTACAAGTGGCAGCTGGAGGTTTTTCGCAGGGGTAGGACACGTGCCCTCCTGGAAACTCTGGGAGTTTGAGTACCTGCTGGGTGGACAACAGAAAGACAAAACATAAGAAAATGTCACATTCAACAGAGTACCAAAGTTAAAATCAGGGTTCCCAAAATTTTACCATTGGCGTTTCAAGACTTTCCCATAATATTTGACCCTATTCTCATGACTTTAGTTGAGTAGTTTAAAATGTGTAGGCCTGAATCAGTAGGTATCGCTAGGTTAAGTGTTGATTGTAAATAACTGACATGTTAAAAGCCTCCCACTCAAGCTAACGTTAGCTATCCATCAGTACTAACTGTCAGCAACATTTAGCAATTTACCACACTGACAGTGAATATTCATCTATCTCAGATGCCTCAAATTTCAGTGTTACAGCCTTGGTTAACCTGCTACACAACAGCTATTTGTCATTTTCTGTGACTGCCTGTTTCCCCAAAAGGAGGTACACCCTGGGCGATGACGTGGTGCCAGTCTAGTCTGAACATGTTTTAAAAAACAGCCATAACAATGTATGTTTAAAACTTCACCAATTAATTCCACACCATTTCCAGGCCTGAATCACAGTTTTCAATTTTCATAATTTTTACAGGAATTTCATGATTGTGGGAACCCTGTAAAATAATAAAACAGTACATTTGTAGGTTTTAATACCTTTCAAAGAAGGATGGAGAGCAGGCGTTCATCGACATTGTCATAGCTGACGAGTTCTGGCAGTCCAGCCCATCCAACATAATGTCAGGGTAATCCTCTGCACTACAAGACGGCGTACGTGGAGTCTGCATTACTTCCTCAAAACTGGGGCAGGAGATGACAGATGTTGGCGTGGGGACACCAGTCGGTCTGTTTTGATCTGGCCTGGGAGAGGCAGGGAGGTTCTCCTTCATTTGGTGGCCAGCCAGCCAGTCCTTTGAGTTCTGGCTGTCAGTGGGCTGGAACTTCCTGCTCGGGGACATCATTTGGGCCGGAAGACCGACATCCTTCAGCTTCTTCTCTTTAAGACCAGACTCCAGACTGTTAGATTTCTTTGATGATAGCTCATTGCGGTTTTTCCGTACTTCCTCTGTGGACTTGGTCTTGTCCTTGAGTTTAGGGTCCCCTGACTTGGGTCTCAGCTTCTCCATCTGCTTCATCCTTTCTTTGTGTCTCTTGTGGCGCTCTTCAATCTCCTGGTCTTTGAGACTCAACATCTGACCAAAACTTGTCATCTGATAATCACCATCCACCAAAAGTTTTTCACGTGGACGATTATCTTTCCTCACGGTGTCTTTGGATTGAGTGAGCTTTTCATTTTCATCCTTAGCTTTAGATTTACTATGGTCCATTCTGTTGTCTTTCTCCATAGCATCCCGACTTCTGTCTTTTTTCATGTCAAATTTAGGACTGTCTTCTTTTGACCGGTCTTTCAGGACGGTGACCTGTGGGCTATCTTTCAACCCTGACTTCACATCCTCTTTGGAGTGTTTGAATGACCCAAAGCCATCGATGTACTTATTCTTCTCCTCCTTTATTTTTTCCTTGTGTTTCTCCTTCTTCTTTTTGTCCTTTGTCCTGTCACTGATTACACCGGTTGCTTTATCTTTGTCCTTTTTGGACATTTCTTTTTCAAATTCCAATGTTTTATCAAAGTCGTCATCGCCGTCACCCTTACCTCCGTATGGGAATGTGTAAGGGTCTGCCTCTAGAGGCATGGGCTCTTTCTCAAAAGGTAGACTCTCTCTGCGGCTGTAGGACTCTCTGATCTCCTCTGTCTTGTCACGTTTGTCTCCTTTGTCCTTCTTGACCTTTTCTTTGTCCTTGTCATGGCTTTTCTTGGATGAGGATGAAGAGGAATGTCGATGCCTTTCTTTCTCCCTGAACTTGTCCTGGGGTGTAGATATGGACAGGGAGTCTCTCCTGTCCTCAGTCACATCAGTCAAGCTGATGGAGTCATAGTACGTAGTGAGGACTGGCTCGTGACCTCTGTCAGTGAAACTGTCTGAAGAGATTTCACTGTTCTTGTCATTGGAGTCATCCTTGTAGTCATTCATAGCTTCCTCCTCGAGTTTTTCTAAGAGGGACTTCTCATTCTCACCAGTGCCTTTTGAGGGTTTCCTTTCCTTTGAATGGTCCAGCTTGTCCTTATATTTAGTCTTTGTCTTTTCCTCACTGGTGTCCCTTTTGTCCAGTAGCTTCAGCTTGTTTTTCTTCTCCTGATTTGAGTCCACTGACATTCTGTCTTTTCTTTCCTTGTGTTTTGCATCAACAGAGTCTTTCTTGTCTTTGTTGTGTTTCTCTAGGGAGCCTTTCCTCTCTTTACCTGTGTCAAATGTGGCCTTTTCTTTCTTCTTCTCCTTGTGTTCTTTGTCCTTTGCCTTTTCTGTGTTATGTTTAGCCTCTGCAGAAGATTTTCTTATTTTCTCTGAGGGGAAGTGATCCAGCTCGTCCTGATCAGGTGTTGAGTCTTTTCTGATGGAGTCAGACACAAGTGCAACACCACCATTATAGCTGTCATCATCATCATCACTCTCATCAGTGAAGATGTCAGCTATCTTGTACCACGTTTTCTCCCGGATTTTCTCAGGTTTTCTCTCCTCTTTCTTTACCTCTAAGAAATCCTTCTCCCTGTCAGCGTGTTTGTCTTGGGAGGCCTTTTCTTTCTTGTCCTTGGTCTGTTCTGAAGACAACTTTCGATCTTTGTCTTTGCCATGAGACTCTTTGTGTTTGTCTTTGACTCCCTCCTTCTTGTCTTTGGTGCCTCGGTCTGTGTCCTTTTCCTTGACAGTTTTTTCTGTAGAGCTTTTCTCACTTTTATCCTTCTCCTGATCAGCTCCTCTGTCTTTTATTTTCTCTTTGTGCTTGTCAGCTTTAGTCTTTTCTCGCTTTTCAATACCCTCGCCCTTCTTTTCTTTCTCCTTTCCAGAGTGGTTTCTTTCTCTGTCACACGATTTACCAACAGCATCAATTTCTTTGAAGAAAGTATCATTGCCATATTCATCTCTTATGGATTCCTGCTTGATTTTTATGTCCTTTCTTTCCTTCATGAAGTCATATGAGTCTTTACGGTCTCGGCTGTTGTCTAAAGAGTCCTTGTCTTTTTTGTCTTTGACCGTTTCTGTGGACTCCTTCCGCTTCTTTTCTTTTTCAACGGAGTGACTGGAGTTTAATTTTTGTTTTTCTGACCAGTCCTTTTTCTTTTCATTTGTCTTTTCTGAGGAATCCTTGTCTTTCTTCTTAGAAGTGGCTTCTTTCTCTGATCTTTTCTCATTGTGATCTGATTTTTTGTCCTTGACTTTGTTTTCTTTCCTCCTTGTCTCTTCCTTAACGGTCTCGACAATTAGTTTAACAGCGTTGTTGGCTTTGTATTCCTTATAGGAGACTGGAGCGTCCCAGCTGTCATCTCCACAGAGGGAGGAGTCAGAGGACATCTCAGATCCCCATCTGTCATGATGGTCATCTGAGGCACTGAGCTTCGTGTCCTCTAAGTTGAGGAAACGGTTGTTTACGTCATAACCTTCATACTCAGACTCTTCCTTCTGTGCTTTGTCTTTTTTGCATTTCTCCTTTTCCTCCTTGGTGTTTTTCTCCTTGTCCACTTTTAGATGTTTTTCCTCTTTCTGCTCACTTTTTCTGTCCATCTTTGAGGACTTTTCCTTGGACTTTTTCTTTTTCTCCTCTTTGTGAGCCTTCTGTTTATCCTCCTTGGGCTTCTCCTTCTCCTTGACGTTTCTATCCTTGTCAGACTTTACAGGCTTCTCCCTCTCCTCCTTATTTGTCTTGTCCTTGGTGGAGTCCTTTGTTTTCTTATTTTTCTCCTCTTTTGCTGTTCTGTGCAGATCTTTTCCAGATGACCAATCCTTATCCTCAGACTTACTTTTCGAAAGCCTGTCCTCCTTTTTCGAATGGTCTTTTTCGTGTTTGGATAACTTGACCTTGCTCTCAGCTGGCGATTCTGACTCGACAATTAAGGACTTCTGCCTTGAATCGTCAAAATCAAAAGAATAGCTCTTGACAAATTTCTCATTCATATCTTGATTGAGCACTAGACTGGGGGCTTTGTCCTTTTCCTTATTTTTGTGCTTGTGCTTCACTTTATGCTTTTTCAGCACTTTGCCATCTCCATCAGTTTTGGAGACCGCACTGTCTGCATTGGAGTTTTTAAAGAGCTCTGAATTTTTCTTGTCTACCGTGCTACTGTGCACATTGTTATTCTTCTTTTTGTTCTCCTGTGCTTTCCTCTTAACTTGTTTTACTGACTCTATGCTGGAATCAGCAGAGGAGTAGTCCGACTCACTGGACAGTCTTGTTCTGACTGAATCTGAGAGAGAACTGACGTCTGACCATGTAGGAGATGACACGGTCTTCCAGCCATCTGTCCTCCACTGCTTTGGATGCTGTTCTGCTAATGACGGGACTTGTTTCTGAGAGTTCAAGTTTCCATGGGAAGAGGAGGAGGATGCATTAAAGCCAGTGGAGTCTTTCAGGCTCGTTGCAGAGGAGTCCTTTATACTGTTTGAGCCCTTATCATCCTCACTCTCCATATCTCCACAATCAGAGTCAGATGTACAGAACTTGTCATTGACTTTACCAAACCTCACTTCTTTACTGACATTATTTTTACTCTCCTTCTTCCGCTTCTTTTTGACTTTATTCTTGTCTTTTTGTTGTTTAGAGCTCATGCTGCCAGAGTCTCTAGTCTTGGTATTTGTTTGCTGGGCTTGTTGCCGTGGCGTAGGTGCTGCCGTGAAACACGTCCTATCATCCTCATCTGAACTGTTACTGTCAGAGATGATCCGCCTGACAGTTTTCTTTGGTGTGAGCGAGTTGCTTTTGGAATAAGTTTTGACCTCCATCTTGGGTATGGAGATGAAGCTGTTGGCCTTGGTGACCGGGTCCTTACGGAAGTCTTTTTTCAAGAGGTGTTTATCGTCCACAGGAGGAACACGTTCCTCCTCGTCATCCTCGTCGAATTCGTATTCATCTTTGACGGGTGTGACAGCAGATTTAGGAGGGTCTATGGTTTTTCCTTTCAGCTTCAGCTTCTCAAACTCTGAGTCTGTGTTATTGCCATCAACAGAGCTGGACGGGGCAAACGAGGGGGCATCTTCCTCCTCCGAAGATTCTGCGGAAAGCACAAAGAGGCACGGTCAATACACATTTAATCAAACACTTGCAGCTCAATCTAAAATAATTACTTGCATAATCTGTGACCAAAATTCAATTGAGTGACTGGAGGATTTAATACCTGATGAACTTTCTTCACTTGAAGTGTAAGTGCCTTTCCCCAGCAATAGATTCAACATAGTTGGAGAGTTGGCAACCTTTAACGCCGTTTCACCTCTCCTGTTGCTTTGACGTGGGTCCCCTCCATACCGTAAAAGTAGCTTAACCACCTGAAACAAATTAAATAAGACATTTCATTAATATAAATTGCAGTTTATGAGATGATAATATGAAGTTCCCTTATGATTCAGACTTTAGAGGTCAAAGGTTATAAAGTTAATGTACCACAAGCTTTGTGGATGAGCTTGACAGGCAGCCAGGGTGATCTAGAAACTGACACTCTGCCACCATTTGCTTTTCCATTTTCAGAGTCTTATGATAACTAAATCTATTGTTTTGCCTTATGGAGTTTATGAAATGTATTAATGCCTTTAGTGACTGTGCATTTTTTCTTTTACCTTGAAATGTCCATTGTTGGATGCATCGTGTAGAGGGGTGTCGTCATCCAAACCCTTTGTGTTGACCTCTGCTCCGGCTGCCAGCAGCTGCTTGGCCACATCATAATACCCCCTGTTGCACGCCTCATGCAATGCAGTCCAGCCTAAAAATGAGAAGATGTACTCTGTGAGGTGTGTACACAGCATATGAATGAATATACAGCGCTACATGCACAAAGTAAAGGACGGTCTATGCAAAAAGCCTCTCACCTGCAAAGTCTTTTACATTCACATCAGCTCCCTCGCTGATGAGCTCCTTGATGCGGCGTACCTCTCCACGGATTGCTGCTCTGTGTAGCCGAGTCTCTCCCCTCTCATTCCGTTTGTTCACTTTGTCTTTGGTTTTAGATGCAGAGTTTGGCGTTCCCTTCTGACCCAGACTGGACTGTGACTGGTGCTTTGGTGTTGTGTCTGTAGGTAGGAGATGGACAATCAATGTCAACACAGTTTCCTATGGCACATTTTGTTATTGTTGTTTCTCTCTTGTTTACTATCACCATTATGACAAACTGTTTGTTTTAATGGCTTACAGCCAGAAGGGGGCATTCTCACTCTAGCAATCAGCAGCAGAGCACTTAGACCTACTTCACTTGAGCTCATTTCATCACATTTACAAGATTAAACCCAAGCCTTAATCACATTTACATTATTGAGTTTGCACAGCTATTGTCCCAAATGATATTTGAAACGCACTCACTTAATCTATGCCCATGCCTTCAGGCATGCAACAAAGGAATTAACACACAAATAAAAGTGGCTACGCATTGGTCCTCATCAACCTAATTCTATCCCAAATTTCACCAGTAAGAGAAAAAGTACAATGTTGCAAAAATAATGCTCTTTTAGGTGCCTGATACACTGACGGCGAATGACTTTGTCTACCAACAATAAACATACCACTTGACAGGACATAAGGAGGAAGTGAATACTATGAATAATTATCTAAACGCAAAAATTAACAGAAAATGAAATGCTTGCAGGCCTTGGGCATTTGAAGTCTAATGTTTTGGCTCAGATGTTGAGATTGCACCATGAGTTCCAGATTAATGCAATACCACCAGGAGAACCAGTTTATTTTCCTCAACAGCCCCTTGCTGTATTTCAGAGCAATAATTCCACTACTGTAGATGAATGAGTAAGTGACTGTTGCACTGCTTAAACAAAACAAACACTTTAAGTCTGACAGCCTAGCTGTAATGAGAATTAATGTGGATTAGCTTGTATGATTAGATTGAAATTAAGTACCCGGTTCTGTCCAGACTGAGGCAGGGTGAGACCCCCCCCCCAAGGGAAAAAAAAAAAAAAAAAAAAAAAGTAGGCAACATGCTCAACCTCCAAAAAATAAACAAAAACAATCAACCCCATGACTCATCCCCTCGAGCCCCTCTTTCTCTTTAAGCCCACCTTCATTACTCTCTGCGACACACACACACACACACACACACACACAGACACTGTCTACATATAAAGCTCCCTCCCGTTCCTCTTTCCTTGTCCACCACCCGTCCACAGAGGACGTGGTCTCCATGATAAGCACGCACCTGGACTGTTGACGGACTCCTCAGCTGTCATTTGCATGAGCAAGGCCACCTGCTGCCGCTCAGAGAGGGGGTACCCGGCCCGGATCCCTGGCATCCCCATTCCAAACGGCAAGCCCGCCTTCCGGGTGTTGGTGGGCTCCTTTTTAATGCGCTTCCGCTCTGGACCTGGTTTCTCTGTTACGACAGTGAGAGGAGAGAGGCAATGTTAATGTCATTGGTTTGCACAGATGCACATGTATGCATGTACTTCACAACACATTAATTCACGCACACAATGCCAAATGTAATTCATTGAACCTTGTGGAAGAGTGGGAATACTGTGTGTGTTATTAGTGTTATACCAATAAAAGACATGCATTATTATTGTGAAAATATTCATTGGATATCTTTATTGTCTATTTCTCTCTAGTTTTTTTGCCACATCCTTATATATTTTTTCCAACAAAACAAAAAAACTTTATTTCTTAAATATGACATCTAAGCTAAGACAATCACCAATATTTCCGTTACAATAACCGTCTTCTACAATTGTGAATTGTCAAAAGCACACTAAATATATCAAAACAGTAGTACTTATTTTAAATGTTTTTTTTTTAAATAAAAATCCCAGTCAATGAAAAATCAATAATAATAACAAAGGCCCTACACATGTAGTGTGTTTACTGGTATCTGATTACTTTGTCTGACCAAAAGACAATAAAGCAAAAAGTATTCAAGCTGCAATAAAATGGATTTCTCAACAACACACAAATGCCCCTGCAAAACATCAGGTAGTTTCCATACCTATCACCTAAAAACACCTCTGTAAAAAAGAAACTAAACATACTTGCTGACACACTGCATACATATGTATAGTAATAGGATAGAGGTTTGGTGGTAGCTGGGGGTGACTTCTGTGTTATTACCCGGCTGCCCCTGAGGAAGGGAGGGGCCAGCGAGCAGTGTGTTTATGTCTGTCTGTCTCCAAACCAATCAGTCTGAATCGAGAAGAGAGGAAAGAGGGTGTGACTTGGCAGGCCCATGGTTATTACGAAATAGTCGGTTTACATTTCAATTCAACATGGCCTTGCCAAGGTCACCACATGCCTGCCTGTGTGCCTGCCAGGCTGACTGGAGACATGGTGCTACTGGACAAAAGCAGCTGCTCCACAAAGACACACCCAGCAATTATTTTCAGTGGCAACATACCATGTGATGACCCTTACGGAGGGTGAAACTACACATGACTGTAACACTTCATCACTGTGGGGGAACGACTCCCACTGCAAGAAAAATCGCGAGCAACAATACAGACTCCTACCACAAAGAGAGAAATAGAAACAGTAAATTCAAATGTGCGTGCACAGAGACACCAGTAGATGCGTGGATGTGTCTGAGCCTGATTTCTTTTCTCATTCCAAGACTGGCTGCATTGCTCAAGGCCACAAACACACAAGTAAACAAGGCAAGAGGGAAGCATGGCGGCTCGCGCTTCCGGTGGCTGAGGGCTTTCCAGGAAAAGATTTTTCCAGTCTCAAGTACAGAGCTGATGAACTTTCACTAACATCTGTGAACACTTACAGCTAATGTGCCCCCACCCCTCTTTGATAGACTCTCACGTTCTCCAAAGCATTTGCAATTTAGACACATTCCTTCAGCTAAGACTTTAACAGCGGGAACCACAGAAGCAGTCCAAACATGTTTTTTAAGCAGAAGAACAGAGAAAGTGCTACGCTAGCTTTTCCAGGCTATGTTTACATGATTGGCAACCAGGAGGGCAGTTATTACCCCCATGCACCCATGTGGAGGACTACACGACACACAAGGCCACAGTCTCTAATACCACATTCATCATCAGTGGCAGAAACCGGCCTGCTCATCTCTGACATGAATAAGCACAAATCTAAATGCAGATAGGGCACATGGAGCCGGTATAATTGCGGTTTTTAAATGGACAACTTTTAAGCTACCAGCTTGGTCTAAAATGACAAACTCTTGATGCAGCAACTGGGTACTGCCTGTACTAATGTGTGTGATTTTAATTTGACAAGATGTTGTGGGAAAATGGGACACAGCTACATACAAAATTGATTCCACATGTGTACAAAAGATGGGATATGTTTTTGCTTTCAGACAGTTTGTGTTAGTTTAATCAGCCTGAGAATTTAAGGAAAGATACAGATGAAAATGGTAAAACTGGGTTGATTAAACACGACTGTCTGCAACGTGTGCCTTCAATCACTCATCACGTGAATCAAAAATACATGTGGATTACTGTATTACTCAAATGAGCAAACAATTACACAACGTCCTGTGCCTACTTCCGTAGCATGCATTTCTGTTAGATGTCTATTTAGGGAACACAGCTAGAGCTTTTATGTGTCTCAGTAAAATGATATTACTCAGCTTACAGACAGGGTTGAAACCGTACTCTCCTTACTGCTTGAAACTTGACGAACAAGATAAGAGAAAAGGAGAATAAAAAAAGGAAAGCGGGCTAGTTAGGGATAGTCAGCCCATGAACAGCCTGCCTACCTGAGCCATGGGAGGAGACCACATCAAACATGAATGCCTGGTAATAACAGAGGTACATTTTGATAGGACAGGCAGACAATACTACTGTGTTAGCGAACGCCAAAACAAAGAGAGAGTCTGGTTCAGTTGGCCTACACAACTCCACGACAAGAAGAACCACTCTAACCAGTCCGACCAGGTATGTTTGACCTTGGCACGTTAGGAGTGAAACAATGCTCTGTTTAGGGACTAATAAAAACTGCATAAACAGGAAGTGAAGGGAGAAGAGGCAGGAAGTGGCCAACAGGATGTTTTGTCAATGCCTTGTATTGAGCAAGAGAGACTCATTAAGATACAGTATGAACAAAGTGGAATGGGCGATGCTGTCTGATCTCTCTGTCTAGGATTGCTGCATATTGCTTTAATGTGTTATGCAGCGAGAGCACAGCTTCTGTCCACTGGTTTTAATCAGAGCCAGTGTGACAAATCACTGTGTGTTATAACCCGCAAGACGGAAACGTGTGGGCTAAAGATCTGTGTAAACTAGAGATGGGCATTTTAAGGAACACCTATATACAAGACCTTGCACTGAATTATCACAAAGTACTCGAGTACACATAAATAAAAAAAACAATCTAAAGAAAGTATGAAAATGTAAATTGGCCAACAACTAAAAAAAAGTGCAATCTGAAATTTATTCATGAACAACCAGGGTTATATTAGCCTATTTACTATCAATTCAAAGTTAATATAAATAAATTCAGAAAACAAATTAACAGCAAACTTTGTAATAGGTTAGACGTAGCCCTGAGGGACCATCTCCAGAATCCAGAGCCACCTCCTCCCAGTCAGTTCAACACAGCTAACACCTGACTAACGTTACCCATATGATACAAACAGCTAGCTCTGTCACTGTCTGTGTTCATGTGTGTGCGGGCAGATTCATGAATACCCTCTTTCCACCACAATTAGCGAATGTACGTAGGTTTTTTAAACACCAGAAAACCCAATAAAAACAGACGAACAACTCCATTGTTATATCCAACAGACCACAGCTGTGTACACAGTTCTGCGGCAAACAAGTAATCCTTTTTGTATTTTTTTTCCTGGTGTATCATGTCCATCATCACAGACAGGCTGGAAAACAGGTTAGTACACAGTAGACAGCAGCATGGATGCCAGTGAGAATGTTACTATAGTTACTTCATTGTTTTATCTCTTCCTTATTCAGTTTCTCTTTTAAACCCAGTGCTGACTTATTTGGCACAATATTTGAACGCTGCTTTGGCGGTATTTTGTGGCAGCTTGTCATTGCATGGTGTCTGCAAAGCTGATATATCTATGATAATATCTATGGCTACTGCAGTCATTTGACCAAGGAGTGAATGCCGATTGTAACCTTTCCCATTGAATGAAAAAGCCAGATTATAGCGAGTGTTAGTGGATTTTCCTGGCACAGAGCTCACACTCCCACAGCAGCAGTCTCATGATAAACCGAGAGAGTGCAACAGCGAGGCAAGGAGGCATTGAGCGAAGTAATACACTGCACAAAGCTCTACAACAAAATAAGATTCTACCCATTTTAAGTAGTAAAAGAAAATAAATAAAAGTCATGTGCACATGTGGGTGGTTGGGCAGCGATCACACTGAACATTGAATAAATACTGACGTCCAAGTCAAGTACTCAACAAGTCATGCCCACCCCTAGGGTAAACCAGCAACTTTAACACAGGGTACACAGGGCAATACTGCCGCAACAAAGACCCATCACTACACCAGCTTTGCTTTTTAACACAAAACCAAATTATGCCGACAAAATCCCGCTCGAGTGGCTTATTTTAGATAGTGTGCCGGCATTCCAGAAGCAAAGAGGAGCGATGAGTGTGACGTGTAAACAAGTGCAGTGCTTTCTAAACAATAACAACGGCATAACATGGCAACACCAATCATTTACCATCTCTGTTATATGACGGTTGATCTCATCCTCTGCCTGGAGGGTAAGGAGCTCCTGGACCTCATTATCTCCGCAATTTGGTGGGCATTTTCGGTAGCTGTTCTTTGTCTTAGAGTTATCAAGTAACTGCTGCTAGCTGCTTTTGAAATTTCCCGGTGGTGGGTTGCACACGTAACATGTCATCTAAACGTCACACCAGTCCGATTCTGCTGTCTCACATTCTTCCGACAAATGTCAATTCGTCTCCGTTTCTACCTCCACTGCCGGCTTAAAAGCAAAACAACTCTGCCCCCCCCCCCCCCATTCTGTGTTCTTATCCTTTATAAAGAACAGTGAGGCAGAATAACAGTGCAGCATCCATGCCTTGACAGACAGTGTAAAGGTGCTACTGTCTCCTTTTGCAACCCATTCTACATGGCTCAGCTCGCATCTTCCTTCAACATTCACAGACCTGACCATCATTACTGTGCTGCACAACTGACCCAGTGGCAAAGGCAATGCTGCAAATGTAATTAATATCCTAGAAGGCTGCACAAAAAGGACAAAGTGACTCAGTTTGAGCACATCATTATGGTGAGCTACAAATTTCAAGACAAAAAAGAGCTGCTGACTTCGACCACGACAACAGTGAGCTGCCTAAATTTGTTTGAACAATAAGTTTTGGCCTGCTGTACATTCAAAGTGGGTGTTTCAGTCATCTCATCTGTGATTGCTCATTTTGAATGCCAGTATAGCTGATCAAACAACACTGCTATTGTCCTGTAACAGGCAATGTTTCATGTATAACATAAGAAATAATTATAAAGCATTATTTTCACCTTGGGTAACAGGTAGAACTTATTAGCCACAATGAAATCACAGCCTGACACAGACTCACAGAAAATATTTGTGCTCCAACTACTTATTTCCATGTTTGATTATTGGATTAGTCTTAAAAAAGGGTCCGAATTAACCTCATCAAAATGCTTATCTGACCAACAGTCTGAAACCTAAACTAATACAAATAAAATTAAGACGTAAAGCAGAGAAGAATACAATCTTACATTCAAGGAAGCGGAAACTTCCAAATTAATTTGTGTCTGATGGTCAACAGATTCATCGACTCATTTGAGCACTATATCATCTGTCAACAACAACACAACTGTTTGTTTGGCTGTAGTCAAAGACAGTTTAAGTGATAATAGACAGTATGATGCTACAGAACAAAGTTATACAGCTGTGTTTGTCTCACTCCTTAAAAGATAATGGCCGAATTTCTCAATTTTGTTGTTTGCCAACCAAAAGAAGACAGGGAGTAAGTGAGTTGTTTTGCTATTGTTTTTCGTAATTCAGTGAGGATGGAGCTCTTCACACAAACAACCAGAAAACACTGTTTGCTTTCACAAGCAAACAGCATTTTCAGAATTATTCTTCTTAGTGTGGGTGCAGTCTTAATCTGACAAGACTGTTCGACCATCTATCCCTGAACTCTGACTGCTGCTGTGGATGGCGGTGGTGAGGAGGAAGAGGGGAGAGAAGAGCGGAAGGAGGATGACCTCAGGAAGGAGGAATGCTGCTGTCTAGCGCTCTTCAGGAGGAGGTCAAGGGAGGCTTGGCAATTCTAAAGGGGAGGGATGAGCAATGAAGTTTAAGAGTTTTGATTAACTTCAACTTAAATGATCTGCAATCTGGTGCGCACAGACGCACAGCGTGAGATATTACTGTCCCTCCTTTGGCTCACTTAAAGGCTCTTGTAATATCTGTAAACACCAAGCAGGCAACTTGCATGTGCTTTATAATTAGAGGCTGAGTTGATAGCAATGTATACAAACAACATCAGCATCACTGCAAAGGCTTCGCCTGCAGTTACAGAAACGGACGACGCAGTGAACGACATTTAAAATCAGCCCACGCTCAGGCTAGAGAGGATCTTTCAGAAAAAATTTAGTATTCATCAGAAGACAATTTTCAACACTGGATTTTAACACACCTCCAAATAACATAGCTGAGACATTTCATAAGGGAACTGAAGAAAGCCAAATATGATGGAAAGTGATTGGAGGGGATTTTAGAGCTACACTGCAGAGAATCTGCTTCTGGTGCCTTAACCTAATGCACCAGCTCTTAAGCTAAGACAATTACTTGAGCCCATATTTTTCCATTTTTGCCTGGTCATTACTGTGTAGCAATCGGCAATCTTGAATATCAGCAGATAAATCCCCAAACCAGCAAATCTAATAGATCACGATCATTTTTTGGTCTTAATTTTGGGGCACCAGGACATCCAAGAAGCTTGCCAGGATTTGATTCTGACCCGCAGTTCTTTGCTGTATATTCCTGCTCACCGATTTTTATAAAAGGTTTGATCGTGGAATCGGGGAACAGAGTTGTCTCGCCTTTAAGCCTACAGCAGAGGTAGTAACAGAGCCAAATTGACGTCTTCGTAAAAGGAACAACCAGCAGGATGTGACCACGAACAGGACAGCTGTGACATTTTGATTAAGTGTTATGTATGTGACCCACTGCAAGCAGCAGTTAGCAGCTAACTCAAAGAAGAAAAGCAGCCAAAAATGTCCACAAATTGGGGAGACAATAAAGGCTGGGAGCTTCTGACTCTCTGAGCAGAGGACAAGATCAGCCACTGTATATCAGCAACGTTAAATGATTGTTATTGCCAATGATTACGCTGTTGTATTACATGTCACAACCATCACTCCTCTTTTGCCTCTGAAATGGCGGCATGCTATCTAAAACCACACACTGGGGCAGCAAGATCTAGCTATTGTTTGGGTCTGTGTAAAGAAGGCCACATAAGGAAGGGAACTTCGTAGCAGCCCTATAACATGATCTCTGTGTAAAAAGCACTTAAGCTAATCTCTATCAGTTCAAGCCACAGAAGGATGAAGAGTTGGTTGTGGGGTAGCCTTTGAATGGAGGGTGGAGGCTGTGAAGTGTCAGAGGTGTAAAATTTTGCAAAGGGGCTAGACACTGACCCATCAGGGTCAGCACTTGAAAGGCCAACCAATGAAGTCAGACTGTAAAACACAGATATGCTGAAACAACTCAATATACAGGTAAGGAAGGTATGCAGACATAAGCCCTGAATAAGAACACACAGGCATATATATACAGAACAAAAACACTTCTCAAGCTACTATGTGAGTCACTGCTAAGACATAAAAATTTGCAGTATGGTGCAATGCATTCTTTAAGTACTAAATTGACAGGCAGATGCTTGATTGTGCAAACTGTGGGAGTTGTGTAATGGCATGTGCCCTGAAAACTTCCAGGCTTCATCAGTATGTAAACACAAGAAACTATTAAGAGACACTTCTGTTAATAGTATGCTGCAGAGCTGAAGTTGAGAGTCAAGGGCTGAAAGACCATGTATTCCAAACCAAGAGAAGATCAAGCTATTAGCATGCCAATAGACTGTCCAGCTATTGTTCCTCAAGTGAGAGTTCACACCTCACCTGCTGAGGAGGGAGGAGTTTCATGGGGAAGCTACGAGAAGCAGCCCAAAAAAGCAAACAGGTAAATAATGTGAAACCACATAATGAGAGTAAAAAGAGAACATACAACACATATTTTTCCTCAAGAAACAGTACACTAAACAAACTTGAATCATACATGTAAACATGTGCGAGACATCACACTGACAAACACAACAAGGATTCAAGAGTGCCAATCAAAGTAGTAATGAGGAAACAAGTTACAGCTTCTCAATCAAACATTCCACATATTCATAATTCCCCTGAGCTACACGGTAATTACACACAACCCCACGTGTCTACAAAATACATGTCCAATCTTACCAAACTTGACCCCAAACCATAATAGTTATCTGTTGCAACATGCACGCTTTTAGCTCTCCGCTCTTTCTCAAGTGTAATCACAGAACACAAACCAATGTAGCGTCTCAGCCAGTGCTGATGATGAAGGCTGTTACCAAAGCCTCTGAGTTGGACCATTATCAACAAACTAAATCCTGAACCCTTAAAGCCCAAAGTCAAACAAGCATGACCAGTAGTCCTTCTCTGCCTAATTAAAGAAAACACAAAGCCGGAGCCTTACCAAAAGCCAGACCTGGTCAGGACTGCACGTTATACAAATTCCCAGTTAATTGGATCATGATTTTGTGTGGTCTTCCTCTCCTTTCAGACTGCGTCCGTAGCAGCAAATTCCTCGGTACTGCCACAGACACACAGCTGACTTGAAGCTAGGAGCTGGGAGTCCATTCACTTCAAAAAGCCCAACCCCCATTTTTACAGAGCATACCTAACTACTTCCTGCAAGCTTGAGAGGATGTGATGTAATAACTCCCCTTTCCCTCTGACTGCCACTTCAAAGTCACATGGGGGTGGAGAAAGCATAAATGACTGCATTGCAATATTCTCTTACCTGAGTCAGAATCTTTCTGGTCTCCATTCGCTCCAGCAGTGAAGGGCAGCTTCCTTTTAGGGGCCTTCTCTTTCATCTCTTTGACCCCATCACTGCGATCCAATTTGGGAGTCTTGTTTGACAACACTTTATCCTATGGAGGACAGAAATCAGAACATGAGGAACACTTTAAGTGGCATGGCTTTGAGGTAACACAACTTTAATTAAAATAAAGAAATAGCACTAGTTTTTTATGAACAGGCCAGAACAGACAGACAAAAGGACAAGTTAGTTGCGGATCCTGCAGCCTCCTCCTATAGTTGGTGTCGTTCTCTGCCTTGACTCTTTTAGCTATTATAGGCTTTGCAGAGCAAAACTTTTCCAAGGAGTTTCCTCCTAGATTCCAGCACAAAGAGCCAGCGCAGCGAGAGGAGGCTAAGCTGACGCCGACTCGGCTCTGTGGTCTACAGCTGGTGGAAACAATCATAAGCCCGAGTGTATCTGCTATCAACAGATGTAAATACTTGTGTGTTTGTTCAACTTGTTTCTTTGTTGTATTGGGATCTGATAGTGACAGTGACTTGCTTATCCTGACTAGCAGCTTTACAGCAGTTAGAGCTGAAAAGACGCCGCAAAAGTCTGGAGTTGTTTACTATGAATTCTTGTAGGATTACAATTAAATATTGCATTACAAATATTATCATGTTCTTCAGTGTTTCATTAACTGATCTATTGACTAATCAAAAGTTACTACAGCTCAAAATGATTTCTTCAAATTCCTTATTTGGTCTCACCAACAATCCAAAAACACAAAGCATACAATTTACAACTGTATTGTAAAGAGAAAAAGAGCAAATGCTCACTAAGAAGCTTTCACTGGCATTTTTTCATTATGTTTACTAAATAAATTTGCTGTTGAGTAATGAGAAAAGAATGGAAAAAACAAATTTAAGTTTCAGCGAATAACAGAACAGAGTATCACAGCAGCAGAGCCACAAAGTTAAAAAAAAAAAAACAAGTCAACCCAAACACATATACAGATACACAAAACACTGTAGGATACTACACAGCATGAAGGGGACACAGTCAAAGCAAAGCCGAAATGCAGACTCTGTCCTGGCAGATACGAAAACACGAAGACTGTATCTTCAGCCAAAAATAAAGAATAATTAGATTATAAATAAATGACAATCCATACTTTGTATATATTATGGCTGCATTAAAATGCCAGGACTTAAAAGGCACAACTGAATTTCTAATATATATGGGCAAGCATGTGTGGTACACACTGAGTCAGTTCAATTTACAACAGAAACTCCAGTCACCCAGAGGTGTAAATTTAAAGGCTCTTAAAGCTGAGGTAGGTAGAAATCTGGAGAGGATAAAAACAAAAAGCGGCAGAATCTGAAATGACACCCTCCTCCTGCAGCTCTCCCCCCTCTATCATAAGCCCCTTCCACCATATGCACTGATTTCATACAGAAACTGTTTCCCATACTTTGGTTTATTCAATCTTATTTCTCTCTCTGTGTTTATCAAACCACAACTGAGGCAAGAATTAGCTAGCCTGCATCCAACCGTCTCTCTGCTTTGCTCTCTGCTGTTGTGAACTTGTTTCCCTGATAGGAGAGCGGTCGGCAACCTGTGAGACAGGACTTCAGTCAGCTAACCCCCAGTGCCAGGTGACACGGTGTACTGGCAGCCAGCGGCAGTGCTGGGTCTACCCAATGTAACAGCAGCAACTTAAAGTTTGCTGATCTGGCGGGGAGTCGGGCTGTCCATTCCCCCAGAGTTAGGGTTTGTGCTGGCTGGATTCGGGCTGCTGCAGCAGCTGACTTTCTGGGGGTCTGTCTCCAGAGCTGCTGCCCACTCTCCTCCCAGCAAACTTGTCTGTACTTGCGGGGAGTGAGGTGGAGGACTCACTGTGATTCAAGGCTCTAGTTAACATTAGCTAGATAAACATGAAATTGAAGTTCAAGCCACGAGCCTTTAGCTCCAGTTAGCAGAGGGCGAAACTATTAGCAACATTTTCTCTCCATCTCTGAAACCTTTGCCGATACCGACGCATTAGTCAGTTTTCCTTTTTAGGGTTGCTTTGAAGTGTAGGCACTGAGCAATAGCAACTTTGTCTGCAGGATTCTCAGCCATTCAATCAGCCTTTTACCGAAGGCACATGCACGTGAATCTGCATTTGTAGCACAAACAGTAGAAAGGCCTTCTCTCTGAAATGACCTGTGATTGGCCAGAGTCTCCCGTCATGGGCTAGATTTACTAAAGCCTGAAAACAGAGCCAAGAGGAGGTGGAGAATTGCTTAAATTAAAATATGCTCAAAGGTTATCAAGTGACAATTGCCCAGTGATGCCAAAATGAAACTGCCTACCCCAGCTTTAATCCCCAAAACAGCCAGTTGCTTTTTATTTTCTTCCCTTCACCACAGTAATTGGACATATCTGATGCACTCTTTCTGAACTGCAAAGTTGGTGTTGTCCCAAGACCACAGCACTGGAGGGAGCAACAAAGACTGTAAGAAAATATTATCACCAACTACCAATGTATAACGTATAATGCTGCTTCAATTAGAAAGTAATTATTATGTCATAATAGAGTTGCGTCTTTTCTCATTTAATATTTTCCATGTGCGGTTCTGGTCTGAAGCATGCAGACTAAACGCATCTTCTTTATATTCACAAGTCGATCCTGGAATATTTCAGGTGACTGTGCTTGTGGAATACTGTTGACACCATCTGTAGTAAACGCCACAGGAAATAAACGATGCAGGATTAAGCAATGAGTGAAAAGGGAATTCACACCAGCAGTGGATTCATTCGGTTGTGGATCCCTGATGTGTTTGTCAAACTGCTCAGTCCAAACTGTACCATGGTGTAAGGTCGAGATGTTTTTAATCAGTGCGCTTCCAAGGGTTTAAGGTCTCATAACGGAGATCCAGGAACAGGTCAGATGTAACGTACACACGCTCACCAGATTTCACTTAATTTCTCTGTCCTAGCCTCTGTCCCCTACTCATCTCTCTCTATCCTCGGGGCAGGTTTTCCATTATGTGTCGACTCTTTGAACTCCTCCCCCTGCCCTGCCCCAGTCATAAGACTATGATGTCATGGTACAGTAGAGACAAACAGTGTCAGCTACAGTTAGCTGATCTCTCCGTCTCTCTCCTCCTTCCTCTCTGTCTGTGTCTCCCCTCAGCGACACAAAGACTTTTAACAAGAGAACACAGATGCACACATCTGGGCATGTGCAAAAGCTACAGTGCATCTAAGTGGGGAAACCGAGATGCAAGGGAATGATTGCTTTAAGTGGAGAAATAACATACAACAGCAGATGCAGAGCTAAATTGCGTTGGTAGAAAATGGTCAAATAACCAAAGCTTATCTCCAGAGTTAGACTGGCTTGTTTTTTTGCTGAATTAAATTTAAAGAGAGCTTTGACAAGTAGAGACTTTCCTCAGATCTGCCTTCATAAGACACCCTGTTTGATGGTCTCCTAGCAATGCCTGCTCTTTTCGTCTCACTCCGTTTTCCACCCACCCCTGTGCGCTTCATTCCCTCCCTCCCTTCCTCCATGCCAGAGTCTGATGCAATCCTTTGCAGAGGGCTGTAAATCCATGCCTGCATAAGCTGTACCTCTCCTCGCCTCGCCTCTTGGTGCTGCTCCTGGTAGCTGAACAGTTGGCACACACCGTGACATCATCAAGCTGCGCCCAACACTTTGTTCCAATGCAAACGACATGACTGTACCTGTGTCAAAATCAGGGGACGCTACCTTCACAGCCCTGCATTTCATGACTGAATATGTCTTGACAGGCCAACAAGGCTGTCCAATTCCAAAGATGCCTCTGAAATCTGGCTGAATTATTCAGCCTTATTTTGCCTGAACCTTGTGGACTCAAACACTACATTCTTTGCAGTTTCCAACAGGCTATTATGCAAGAGTCAATTGTGCAATTGTACATTAATGTGGTCTCGGTATAGTTGGGAAATAGAAACCACACTTTATTTACTAGGAATAAGGGTTCAGGGGGCATCTTTTACAAGAGAGACCTGGCCGGGGTAGCAGCCATGCAAAATCACAACATATTAAAATACAACATAATATACAAAAATTAAAATGAAACAGAGAAGCAGCTACTTAACACAGTGGCCTCTCGAGAAAACAACCATATGCCTGTATGACCAGATTCTTTATGATGCCCTTGAATACATCAATGGATATAAAAGTTTCTAATTTTAGATCTTTTAGCTGACTATTACATGCCCAAGGTTCATAGTAGGATCATTCAGTTTTCCCCAAATCTGTCAAAACCTAGGATACACACACAGTTTCTCAAGTGTCCATCTGTTACTGACTAGTCTGTGGTGCCACATGATATTATCCTAATAACGGCATGTTTGTTTACAGCTTTCTCTTGATGGGAAGGCCTCTGTGATGTTCCACCTTGCCACTGACAGCTGGACTTTCCAACATTACAGATACTGGGAAACTTTCATAATACTTGCATCCACCACAGAGGGGTCAGAGAGCAGGATCAACCACAGAACAGCGTCACCGAAACTGGTATACATTCAAGTTTCAAGTTGAAGGAAACAGAGGGGGGACAGATAGTTTCTGTGGTAGGACATGTTCCCAGGCCTTCTGGTTGAAAACCAATTTTCATATTTATTTTAGCTAACATTCCCTTACTGTCCGTGAGGCCTTCCAAAATTTTATAATTGTTGATGAGATGTAGTGGTTTAGAGTCAAGTTTCAAGGACAAACAGCAGTTGAAAGTGGGGGTATGCTCTGTATAAAAACATTTGGTTTTTGGGGGCACAGTGTGTGCTTGTAGGTTTTTCAGTCTTACCTTCTTCCCACCCTGCTTTTCCACCATGTCGGTGTTGAGTGGGAAGTGGTCCAGCTGGGGGGTTTTAGAACCCCCACCTTTGGGCATCGTTCAGCTCTCCCCACGCCAAGCTTCATTCACGCTGCCATTGCATCGTCATCAACCGTCTGGAACAAAGAGAAAGGAGAAAAAAAAGAGATGGTGGGGGAGGTTAGCAACTGGCCACTACGTTTCTTTGAAAACACATTTACACACTGCCAGACGATGCAGCCATTAGCGGCACATCAAGCACTCTATTTTCAACCATTACCCCACTGATCTGGAGGAAGAGCAGTTGAGAGGGAGGACAGCAGGCTGAGTTTTTAGCAGTGGCAGGCAAAAAGCTGATCTGATCTCTAGGCTGAACCCAAAGAGCAGGCAAGGTCTGCCTAGAAAACTACAGCAGGAGGAACTACAATCGTTCAAAACAACAGTGGCACACTATTAATATAAAAAAATACCAATGATTACAACAGGACAGACAAAGTGAGATGTGCATAACCCTAATGTTTTGATATACTGACAGAGCCAGGAAAAGCGGAGGAATGTCTTCAGGAACGTGACTGGCACATCTTGACAAAAACCCAAACAGCTACTTACTGCCATAGCTAGCCACCCCTTGTAATTGTGGGGCTTTAATCTGCCCTAATTCACGGCATTCACACCAGTCAACAAGATGGGACTATTGCCCTCTTGCAACAACAGCTAGGAATCTACCCGTAATGAGTGATTGGTTTTATCACAAACTTATACAGATAGCTCTGTACAGTTTAATGTGCCCTGTATTCCCACTGTCTACTTTGTCCTCCATGTAGGTACACAACAACAATCCCCTGCCCGCCTTCCTTCATGAAGAGAGGCCTTCTGCTTTACAGGGCCATGAATTAATCATACATTCCATCTCTCAATTCTCTCCTCCATAATGCACATTTTCTTCTGAGTGCGTCCAAGTATGATCATCCTTGTGACTGACTGAGTGAGTGAACAGATGAGACCATGGCTGCATCATTTTTTTCTCTACTTTGAGACACTGGCACTCCTATCTTCCCTGGCGCCACTTCCATCTCCCGTCCCCTCCCCTCCCCTCCCCCATCCTCCTTCCCTTCCCTTCCCTTCCCTTTGCAGTTATCCTATTCAAAGACTGCTATTTATATCTCTCCAGTCAAGTCAGTCAAGTCAAGACAGCCAGCCAGCCAAGAGAGGCACAGAGCTACAGAGGATGTACTGCTCCCTCTTTTACTGGTGTATGGAAGGAGAGACACGAGCAAACACAGCAAACCACAGCCCCTTCCTCTCTCCTCTGGCTCATTGTTACTCCTTCTTTGCTGCTGCCATGCACTCGCTCCAACCTCCCCCCTAAACTCCCACCTCCCACCACACCAAACAAAGTGACAGGAAGGTTGACTACTCTCAGAAATAAACAAACCTTGCAGCAACACACACACACACACTCACACACACTCCGCAAACTAGGTCAGCTGGGCTTCTAGAACAATAATCTCTGCACTATTTTGGGACTACTATGATGGGCAGTTATAGCTACAGAGCGTTTCGCTGACATGCGAAATACAGGAAAATGATGTTTGCAAGCTAGCAGTCACACAAAGGCACACACAAGGAGAGGAAACCCTGTTGAAAACCACAGGCCTCATTTCCTTTGTAATTTCATTCCAATCAAAAGATACATAACATCTGCTAACAGTGTGAGTGTGTGTGAGTGTGTTTCACCCAGTGAAGTGTTGTTGCTATTAAACAGTTGATTAATTCCATATGTGTATTTGCGTGCTCATGAGTGTGTGTGTATATACAAATACAAGAAAACTAAGTTTCTCTGCATTAGGAAGGAATATCATATGGTTTGTGATGAAATCAAGAAGTACAGCATCGATCCTGAGATCTTATTTAGGGCTCGACTATGAAGGTCGTCTGTACTGTAAAAACCGCTGTAAGCCAGACTGTGAAGTTTGTGTGTAGTTAAAATAAAACAGCGGTGAGTGACTGACGAAACTCTTGGACTGAAAGCCCTTAAGCAGAAGCAGATTATGAATGCTGCTAACCAGGCTGGAAAAAAACATTTATGATAGGGCTGCACAATCATGGCCAAAATAATAATCATGGTTATTTATCACAACCGTTCATTGATTTTAGGGTAATGATGTTTTTTTTTTTTTAATTGCACTTTCACTTTTAAATTAACAGAGCACTGCTATCACTTTAACTTTGTGCTACATTCCTATAAATGTTCAAGCCTTAACATCAAAATAAGACTGGTCCTTACTCACAGTGCATCTTCTAAAAGCAAAATATAAATGAAACTGCACCAAAACTTTCTACCCAAAATTAAATCACCAGGGCACTGCTTTCACTTTCACGTTGTACTGTATTTCTGCTGAAAAACATATCTTTGCATCAAAATAAGGATAAAAATAAGGTTCGTCTTCACATGAATTTAATGCATCTCCTACGAGCAAAATAAAAATAAATGTCTTTGTTCGACACGATTGCATTGGTTAATGCAGTCTATCTGTGGGAGCTGGATGGATACAGTGACAGTGACGCACTCTGTCATGGATGTCTGAGGACAAGGATGAGGATTAAGTGTGATAATATTACCAACATTATTCCTCTTGGCCTTCATGCGTTCATCGTACTGCAGTTTATAGTATTTTCAGGTTAAAACAAAGTTAGTTGCGTTGTTTTGCAGCCCAGACACGAGTGTAATCCAACAATACCTTCAAAGAACGATGGTGGTTTTATTAAGGTACAAGTTCTTTGCCTTCTGCTCCAGACATTTGATTTTCATTTTGCCAGTCTGTTGTATATTAACTCTTCTACTCTAACTTACCCTGGACTGCAGTTGCAACACTGAGAAAAGTCTTTCACAGGCTGCTGCAGTATGCATGTGCAGCGGCATTACAGCTGCCATGGCTGTTAGTTTAGGAAGCGTTTGATTTGACATGCAGCAGAGTTCTTCTTAAAAGTGGTGCAAAAACAAAATGGCCAAAATGGTTGACACATACTAATGATTTTGAAATGATGGAGGTGCTTTTAGACCACCTTTAAAAGATAAAAAAAAAAAAAAAAATTCACATGTTCAGCATGTTTTATATGATACAAATTTAATTTTTGGTTGCCATTCAGGCACCCTCCTTTTACCAAGCTGCACTTTCGATACACAAATAATGTCATGAAGTTTGATTAACATTACTAAATTTACACTGTGCCCTTACAAGGCGATGTGTAATGAAACTAACTTGGCAATCAGTATAAAAGCCAGTGCCTCATGCTTGCTAGGTTGAGTTTATATAAATACTCGGGGCTATAAGTGACAGGTCATGAGGTTACACAGTGTGGTGAGTAGCAGTGGTGGTGAACAATGTAGGGCAGCATCCTGCTTCTTAACAGCCATCATATGAGAAAACAAAGAACTCTGACTGTATTTTGAGGTTTTAGCGCTAGAAAGACACTTGTGCATTTGTGAGGAGATTTTTAATAAATTATAAAAACAATAATATAGCTTACAACACATAATACATATATATCAATGCAAATATTTATTTCAGAGAGAACTGAAATTACCTATACTATTCTATTCAAAAACTATTAAAAAACTATTCAAACTATTCAAAAAGTATGACCTGGTTTTGAGATACCTATGGAGTGATGTCCTCTGATCAAGTCATACCCTGCTACAAAATAAATAAAAAAATAAATAAATAGATAAATACAACAGAGGGGAAGCTCTGTTGAGTTTTAATGTTTTATAAATGACGTCAGTTAAGTTAGACTTGGCCATGGAAATGATGACTGCAGAAAGAAGTGGTAAGAGGTGAGCCAGAGAAGCAATCTCTTCCAAATGAAGGACAGGACCTGCCAGTACAACTATCCATCCCTTCTCTCCCCTGCGCATAAACACACACACACACACACACACACACCTTTCTTTTTATGTCCCCTGTTTCTTTCTCTCTTCATCCTCCTGTAGCATCCTCTCTACGCTCTGAGCCACTCCCTCTGCGGTCAGATAGAGGCCAACACCTCAGCATACTGCAGCATACTGTGTGCACACTTACAGATTCACTGACACACACCACAAGCACACTTACATCAGGATGTTATAGTACCAGCTTATGTGATTGAGGAGACGGCCTTGATGTCTGACAATGTTCAGTGATTTGAAAACCTATATACACCAAAATCTAATTGGGTATTATATTCTCCAGTTAAAACAACTGTGGTACAATGTGTCATGTGTCCAGGCAACTCTGCACTTAGTAGGTAAGGTAAAAAGCAGCCACCTCAGAAGTGACTCAACAATGCCATTTCAGTCCGGCAGCCATATTTAATAGCACAGGAAGGTGTATTATTTTGCCCTGGAGATAGTTCAATGTTAATGTTATATTCAACAATACTGTTACTGCATCGTCTAACATCCTGGGATGAATACACACAGCACACGCTACATTCACTCTAGTAAGTCTTCATTAAAGTGCAAAGCATATAAAACTGCTAGGTTCAAGAACACAAATGCTAATTTAGTTTCGGAAATCTGTTGCACTGCAATGAACAAAACTCTGACCTCAAACCAGGCGGGCCTCATAGACCAATTTCTACCACACCAATTTTTAGCGCTGCAAGCAATTCCACTACAACACGCACTCTTGATTATAATCAGAGAAACAAAATAGAGCACTGGGAAAACACAAAGACGTAAACACACACAGCTGAGAAAGAGCTGAAGATGCACGTGCACAGATGAGGAGTAGTTGCTTGGTCCAACCCCGTGCCACTCCTAACTCATGCCTCTCATTGAACACACAGAAACACACCTCAAATTTTCCACAACTGACAGCTGAACACAGCAGCTGCACACAAGGATGGGCGTGTTGCTCTCTGTCTGTCTGTCTGTGCCCGTGTTTTGTGTGTGGTGTGTGCACAAACCCCATCACCTATTGCACAATCAGATACAAATTGGCAGCATACTCCCTGGCGGTCAGTCAACTGATCTCGGTGTTGGTTAACTGATACAGCTGAGACACAGTGACATAAATGGTGGAGCAAATGTTACAGGGGTCAAAGTGTCCTCATACCAGAGATGTTTATGAGGCACAAAATGAAAGTAAAGTTT